AGGCTCAAAGAAGAACTGGGAAACTGAACCAGTGAACAGACTCACATGCCCAGGATAAATGCAACAAGCTCATATATATCTATCACACATGTGATACAGCTGTCAGGATTCCCACACACTGGCTGCATCTCTTTACCAAAGTAGTTTAAACCTTCCAAGGATCTGAGGACCTGCCAGCTGTAAACATATTCATAACGAAGAGGCTTGTTAGGCCCTCAGGCCCTTCCCTGTCCTCTTGATTCAGAAGCTGCGATTTAGGGTCCTCAGGTATGCCTGAGCATGGTGGTACAAGCCTGTAATCCTGGCACTTGGGAGTCAGAGGTAGAGTATGAGTCAGAAGCCAGCCTGGTCTACATAGTGAGTTCCAGGTCAGCCAGGGACTACATAGGAAGACCTTGCCTCAAAACAAAGCAAAAGAGAGAGAAGGAAAAAAATAAATAAATAAAGCAAAAGCAGGACCAGGACCAGGAGACAGATGGCTCCATGAACAAAGCATTTGCTGTCTAAGTGTGAGGACTGGGATTCAGAAATCCAGAGTCCACACAGAAGTCGGGTGGGTGGGTGTGGCAGCAGGTCCTAATCTCCACACAGGAGGCAGAGACAAGGTGCTTCAGTTTCACCAAGAGACCCAGCCTTCATATTCAAGGTGGCGAGCAATCGAGGAAGACAGACACCTGATGTCTATTTCAGGCTCTGCATGAATGCACATGCATACGTGTGCCCCCACACATACAGATACATATACACATATGCAAATAAGCAAAAGTGAAACAAAGATCCCCAGAAGACTCATTTGCATGCCAGTGGCTCAGGAGCCTTATTTCATTGCAAATAACAAACACTCCTAAGCATGTCATGCATTTCTGAAGGATGTGGTTCTCCTCCACTGCCACATGCTCTCAGCTAATAAAATGAACCATGTCTCTGTGAATAGCAGTCTCAAACTGTCTTTTTAACAGTGAGTTTGCTCAGGTTAAGATGCAAACAAGGAATCCTACTCTCCATCATCGCCAACCCTTGTCTATGTTCACTTCTGGCCATATCACATGACACTCCTAATTTACCTTTGTCTGATATCTAATGAACATCTTAGGTGACTGACAGCCACTTGGAAGAACTCTTGTGAAATTTCCCTTTTTTACCTTTGTGCTTTTGTTTCTTAGTGATTTGTACAAACTATTTGCCTATTCTGAAATGAATCTTTAGTGAATGTGTTGCAATTATGTTCTCTTAGTCTGTGGCTGGCCCTTCCTTCTTCCTTCCTTCCTTCCTTCCTTTCTCCCTCCCTCCCTCCCTCTTTTCTTTCTCTCTCTCTCTCTCTCATGTGAGAGTGTGTGTGTGTGTGTGTGTGTGTGTGTGTGTGTGTGTGTGTGTGTGTGGTTGGTTAAAAGTCTCCATCATATTTCTCTGGAAGTTTCACATCTGTAATAGGAGTGGGGTAAATAGAATTGGGTGCACATATATTGTTCCATTCTTTGTACTAAAGCTGGCATAGTTTATAAATCTAACCTTGCTATGTATTCCCTTTTTTTTCTTCCTCCCTCTCTTCTTCCTTCTTTTTTGTGTGCATGTGTAATTTGTTTTGTTTTTTTGTAATTTGTCTTTTTTTAAGGTGGGGTTTTGTGTAGCCGAGGCTAACCTGGTACTCCTATTGTAGCAAGGGTGACACTGAACTCCTGGTTCTTCAGTCTTCATCTTCCAGGTGTCCAGCTTATAGGTCTGTGCCCCCATACCCAGCCTCTGTTCTTTGAACGTGTGTAAGGCTGTGCAGTTCCTGTAATCACTGCTTTAATGGTGTCCTGCAGGTTCTGATTTCTCGTATTTTCATCTAAGCACTCAGGATTTCCGTTGTGATTTCCTCTGTGACTCTGGGTTATAACCAATTTAGGATGAGTCAGGTGAGGTTGTTAAGATAGTATAGTTTGTGCTGTAAATTCTTAGTGATAAAATATTAATGATAAAACAGTGCAAAATGTAATATTTTTGTTGGTAGATGGAAATATGTGATTAAAATCAAATATTTTTAATACTAGATAATTTGGTTTTATGTTAATTGCATGTTTATTAGCTTTGGCTGTTCTTACTTAATATTTTAATTTTGAGGGGTTTTTTTGGACTTATTTTATGTGTATGAGTGTTTTGTCTGCATGTATGTATGTGCCACACACGTGTGTCTGGTGCCCACACAAGTCAGAGGAGGATATCAGATCCCATAGAACTAGAGTTATAGATCACTTGTTAGCTGCCATGTGGGAGTTGGAAACTGAGCCTTGGTCCTCTGTAAAAGCAGTAAATGCTCTTAATTGCTGAGGCATCTCTCCAACCTCCAATATTTTAGTTTTATTAATCCATTTGTATAAAATATTTATATATTAAAAACTTAATTTGTGGCTGCAAAAGTAAAAAGAGAAAATTGTAAAGAAAAAAAAAAGAAGTATACTGTTACTAAGTTCTTTAAGTTCTTTTTTTTTGAGACAGGGTTTCTCTTGTGTACCTTTGGGACCTGTCCTGTAACTAGCTTTTGTAGACCAGGCTAGTCTGGAACTCACAGAGATCTATCTTCCTCTGCCTCCCAAGCACTGGGATTAAAGGTGTGTACCACCATTACCTGGCTTGTTTCTAACTTCTAAGAAACACAGTTTCTCTAGTTTTCTTCTTGTTACTGATTTTAATTCTATTATGGTCACAGAACATATTCTGAGTGGTCTTCATCTGTCAGTAGAGGACAGATGTGTGATTCACCATATTGGTCAATTTTGCCAAATCTTTCCATTTGTTTGGAAAAAATAACTGTTTTACCATTGTTAGGAATGTGTTCTGTTTGTTGATTAGGTCATCTTGTCAGTTGGTCAGATTGTGTCCTTGATACTCTGTTGTTGTCTGTTTTATAGCTGACATGAAAGTTTGTTAAAGTGTTGAAGTCTCCTTTGGTTGTAACATCTGTAATGTTTTAAATCCAGTCAGGGTTTTGTTTGTTTGTTTATTTTTGTTTTTTTTTCAAGACAGGGTTTTAAGACAGGTTTGGAGCCTGTCCTGGAACTCACTCTGTAGATCCTACTGGCCTTGAACTCACAGAGATCTGCCTGCCTCTGCCTCCTGAGTGTTGGGGACTACAGGTGTGCACCACCACTGCCTGGTTCCAGCCTTTTAGATTTTGAGGGGATATTATTGGAGTCATGCATATTAAATACCACTGTATCTTCCTACTGAAGAAAAATCGGGTTACGTACGTATACATCTTCCCCTTCCTTGTATGTAAGAGAACATAGTTTATAAACCTAACCTTGTAGATTATATTATATTACTATTTTTGATTCACTCTTAAAAATCTCTACTAGAAAATAAAAATTTATTAATTGGAAAATTATTCCCCCATTAATTTTAACATAAATATTGTATTATATTCTATCAAATCCAAGATACACAGACAATTTTTTCCTGATAGCAAGATATGTTATTTGACAAAAGATAAATGCTTTATTTAATTTTACTTTTGTGGTGCTGGAAATTAAGTTCAGGGCCTTACACACACTAGACAGACACTCTGCCATTGATATTTATCCCTGATTTTGGAACAGGGTAGTGAGATATGTTTTTCAAACAAAGCAGAAAACACCAGAAAATAAATGTGTCCTGTTATTGGAGTATGAATTAGGATGGTTTGTTGGGGGCAATGAGTCAATATCAATTTGTTCCATTATTTTATTTGTGGTCTTTTGTTTTGTTTTGTTTTGTTTTTTGTTTTTTCGAGACAGGGTTTCGAATGTCCTGGAACCAGGCTGGTCTCGAACTCACAGAGATCCTCCTGCCTCTGCCTCCTGAGTGCTGAGATCAAAGGCATGCGCCACCACCACCCAGCTTTTTTTTTTTTGATCTTTTGAGACAGGGTCTCAATATACAGTTCTGGCTGTCTAAGAACTCACTCTGCAGACCAGTCTGGTCTCAAACTCGTAGAGATCCAGCTGTCTGTCTCCCGAGTGCTGGGATTAAAGGTGTGGGCCACCATGCCTGGTATGCCTCCACAAATTTTCATGAAAAGTGTCATACATATTGAAGAATTGTGAAATTAGGCAGTTCTGAATATTTTTCTATTTTATTCTTCATATGTATCTACCCATCTTAGCATGTATAAGAGAGACCTTGGGTTCTTATGTATGCTTAAACATTTCATCATACATAAAGTTCAAAGTTTATTTATATATATATATATATATTTCTTTTCAGCAGGTGGTTTGAGACAGATTTTCTGTGTAGCCCTGGCTCTTCCCGGAACTGGTTAGTCTCGAACTCCGAGACCCATTTGCCTCTTCCTCTCGAATGCTGGGATGGAAAGTGTGCACCACCACTCCTGGCCTCTGTTGTTTTAGACAAGGCCTCACTATGTGGAGCAGGCTGACCTTAAACTACATAGTACATAGCAATCCTCTTGCCTCTGCCCCCTGCTGGGATGAGAGGTGTGGGACACCATGCTGAGCTGTCTGGAGTTCTTTTAAGGCCCTTAAAAGAACTTTCCTTTACTGAGCATGAATGCTGAGCTGAGGTCCACCCTCTTGTGTTGCTGTACCTTCCATTTTACTCCCGATAGGTGGTGTTCCACCATACAAAAACAGTTACCTCATCCACTCTCCCTCATCCACTCTGTTAAACCTTCTGTGCTTTCTCTTGGGTCACTTGAAGGGGCGTAGGCCTTCTCTGGGGACTCTGGATGTCTGTTAAGTTTGGTGCAGGTCACAGTAGGAGCCATGTGACTGGTGTGGAAATCACAAAGCAAGAAGCATAAGGAAGCAGGTGGGGTAGTGTTCCTTCCTCAGAGATGTCTTCCCTGAGACTGGAGCAGCTTGGTTTAGGATGGGGACCAGCAGCCATTCCCTCTCCCAGGCAAGAGGCTCTGGTGGAGGGTGATGCTGATACCAAAGGATCTGATGGACTGATTGCAGCCACACACACAGCTACAGCCAAACAGTGTGCCTCTTTATCGGATGTTTCTCTTTGGTTCACAGGCCTGATGTCACTGGGAGCCTTCAATGTGGATGTGGCCTGGTCCTGGGTCACAGCACTTAAACCGGGTGCACCTTCTGTGCTCAGTTCCTTTCTGCATCAAGACCCCAGCACCAACCAGACCTGGTGAGTGTGGAAGCATGCCCCCAAGATGCCCAAGGTACACCCCAGAGAAGGCTGTAATATCCCACCCCATAGCCTGGGCAGCACAGCTTTCCCTTTGTGAATGACACACAGCCAGAGAAAGAAAGAAAGGTGGGGGCTGTGATCCCCAGGCGAACCTGCCAGACACAGAGCCCCTGTCTTCTTCTCCTTCTGTTTCCCCTACGCTGGTTAGGGGAGGGGACCTTAAATAACACTTTAAAATGATGTTCACTGGGGCTCCTGTCTGATTTATAAAAGTTACATGTGCTCAACATAGGAAAGTTGGAGGGTGACAATGAGTAGATAAATAATTGAAGGAGAAATGGAAACCCTGAGTGTCAGCCAAAGAGGTTAAGAGTTCATCGTTCTGGGGGTCATGGCTCAGAGGCACCTCACTTTATCCCCTGAGCAGGTTCAGTGAGGTGCTGAGCCCCAAGCCTCAGTTTCTCCCCTCTGACTGGTGATTTCCAGAATTCATAGGGTTGCTGTAGAACTGTTTGAGAAAATGGACACAAAGGGCTTTCTTTACATGGGTTCTGTCCAAATTGAGCTATGACAAACATTGCCTCGTATCTTGAAAATATCACCTGGTTCAATCCCTGGCAAGAACTGTCAGATCTGGTGAGGATGTGGTGGAACAGGAATGTGTGGGAGTGTATGGCATTGCTGCCTTGGAGAACAGTGTGGTCGTCTGGTGGGCCGAGGATGCACAACGGCCTTTGGCTCAGCAGTTACATCCCAGGTACCAGCTCTAGAGAGACACACAGGCCCATGCAAAAGAAAAAACAAATGTGGTGCTTGTGATTAAGCACAGGATTTTACACATTCTAAGCACACACTCTACCCCAGGACCCCTGCTCCAGGCACACAGTTGATGTGTTGGTGTGTGTGTTGTGTTGGTGTGTGTGTGATGCTGAAAACTGAATGCAAGGCTTCTGCAATACTAAGCCACTACTACTGAGCTTTGCTTCTAGCCTTGACATTGACAGTGGCTGTGCTTTTACCATGAAAGACCAGAAAAAGTAAATAAGGTGTGATTGCATGAAATCAAAAGCAGGTCAAATCAGTGAAACTAGCCTGTTCAGCCTGCAAATGCGAGGTGAGAAGGTAGGTTATCATTCACTCCAAATACCAATGGAGCACCTACTGTATGCCAGGCCCTGGGAGTAGAGCAGTGAGCAAAGCAGACAATGTCCCCACCACCACACCCCAGTCCCTTTTGGTTCAGGTAACCTCCATGTTGGTCAGTGCCATAGCAGGTCAAATATGTCTTCTCCAGATAGGGCTCATGCAGAGCACTAAGGCAGGGGCAGATCTAGTTAGAGGAGGAGAAACTGTGTGTCAAGTCCTACCTGTGGCTCGTTTCAATTTCCTGTTGTTACTAGAGCAGCTTTTATAGTTGAGTTGGTTTAACGTAGGTTCTTTGCATTTATTTATGTTATTCTTTTTTTCATGTTCTGGGTCTTGAACCCAGAACCTCTTGCATGCTAAGCAAACACTTTCCACCAATACGTAATGTGTCCTATAAGGAATATTGCTTCATAGTCAGGATCCAGTTATGGTTCTTGGGTTGTATATTGTGTCTTTTAATTTAATCTAATCAAGCACCCTTCCGTCCTACCCCTTCCACTCCCTTTTTTGGGGGAGGAGAGATTTAGATAAGGTCTCACATAGCTCAGGCTAACCTCAAACTTCTGATTCTACTGCCTCTAACTCTACAGTTCTGGGGTTACAGGCCTGTACCAGCTTGGTTGACTTCTACCATTTTGTTCTGGTTTGCTTTGAGACACAGTTTTTCTATGTAGACCAGGCTAGCTTCAAACTCACAGAGATCCTGCTGAGTCTTCCTTCCTAGTGTGGGATAGTTGTGTGCCATCATTGCCCAGCCCGCTACCATTTTCCCCCCATGAAGGTAGTAGGGCTTGTTTCTGTGCGTGCTCTACCACAGAGCCAGGCTCAAGCCCAGCCTCCACAGTCCACCTCAGCTGCTTTGTTTCTTCTCAGTAATTAAGGGTTTATCTTTTTAATTATATTTTATTTATGTATTTTATTTTGTGGGAGAGCATGTGCCACCACGTGTGTGGAGGGCAAAGGACAGCTTGCAAGAGTCTGTTCTCTCTGTCCTCATGTGGGTCCTGGGGAAAGAACTTGGGTTTGGGGAGAGGGAGGTCAATTCTTAGAGTGTTTAATTCTCTTCCAGAGGATTGGAGTTCAATTCCCAGCACCCATATCAGAGGACTCACAACCACCTGTAACTTCAGCTCCTAGGGGAACCAATACTTTTTTCTGGTTTCTGAGGTGACTCACACAGCACACACACACACAGACACACACACACACACACACACACATACCCAGACACACTCATAAACACACAGACACAGACACATCAAACACATACCACTGTCACCACCACCACACAAATAAACAAGTCAATAATAATACATTTTTTAAAAAATAACTTGGTGCCGGTCAGTGGTAGCGCATGCCTTTAATCCCAGCACTTGGGAAACAGAGTCAGGTAGATCTCTGTGAGTTTGAGGCCAGCATGGTCTTCATAGAGAGTTCCAGGACAGTCTCCAAATCTACAGAGAAACCCTGTCTCGAAAAACATAATAATAATAATAATAATAATAATAATAATAATAATAATTTGGAGGGGTGGTGCTGGGAATTAAACCCAGGGTCTCACATGTGCTAGGCAGGCTCTCTGGGAGTTTTCTTTATACCTGCCTGCCTGTGAAAGTGAGCCCAGGGTTGTAGCAGGCTTTGAGCAGAGCCAGACTCCTGCCTTAGCAGAGCTGCTCTGCCTTGTGGAGAGTGCATGGGGATTAGCAGCTAGTGCAACAGTTGTGGCCTAAGCCTTGGAAGCGGACCCTGGCCACACCTACAAAGCAGGCTCAGACCCCTTTGTCAACCCCGAGTTTCTCATTGCTAGTGAAAGGACTTAATATTGTTATTTTATTGTTGTTTATATTGTTGGTGATAGATTTCTTCTGTTGCTTATAGCCACACAGATTTTTTTTTTTTTTTTAATGAGACAGGGTTTTTCTGTGTAGCTCTGTAGACCAGGCTGGCCTCCAACTCACAGAGATCCACCTGTCTCTATCTCCCAAGTGCTGGGATTAAAGGCATACACCACTATCTGGCTTAGCCACACACTCTTAACTGAAATATCAATATTAAAGTCCAAAATATCTGGTCCCTATTGGCACGAAAGGCTTGTAAGTCACAAGATCTTCATTGGTGGAGTGGAGTTCATCAGTAGACATAAGGGCAAGTTCATTTCATTTAGTCAACAAATATTTATACAGCATCTATTCAGTGCTAGACAAAATTTGTGGACTAAAACCGAGAGAGAGCCTGGGTGGTGCCCAGACCTTGAATCCCAGCACTCAAGCAGAGGCAGGCTGAGCTCTGTGAGTTTGAGGCTAGCCTGGTATACATAGTGAGTTCCAAGTTATCTAGGGCGGCATAATGAGACCCTGTCTCCCACATCTCCCCAAAAGAGAGTGAGATGTGGCTCCTGTCCTTGACCAGCTGCTGGGCTCATGAGGGACGCAAACAGCTCTCACAGTGATAATAACACTAACAGTTATGGTGGGGGCTTCTTGTGCTTCCAGGACCCTGAAAAAGGGCTATCTTTGGTGTCTGTGCCAGGACTTGGGGTCAATCAAAGTTATCATGATAAGGGTGGAGAGAAAAGAGTCCAGGCAGAGAGAAGAGCTTGGCTAAAACCCTGGAGGCTATGCTGAGCAAGAGCGGTGGCTAAGGAAATGCCCATGGCTGTACTGAGAGCCGTGAAGAATAGGATGGGAGAGGTGGGGTGTACCTCATCATTATCACATGGAGGGTCTAGAAGAGCTGGAAGAGTTTGAGGCAGGAACAGTGAGAATGTTGTCAAAAGATTTTGGCTTTGGGGACGTTGTGCCCAAAGTCTGGACCCCCCAAACCACCAAGAGATCAGATCTGATGCAAAAGCAGAGTCTTTTTATTTCCTGGTTAACTTGGGTCAGCAGTCTGACACGGCAGGTGGAGTAGGAGGGACCCCAAGCTGCAGTGGGGCAGGGCATATATTGGGGGTAGAGCAAAGGGGGTGTCTCGGGGGTCTTCTAGTTGCATAGTAACAGTCTCAGGACAAGTTCCTGGGCTGGGGGAACCTGTCCTGAGTTGATTGGTCAGCTGCAGCTGCAGAAAGGGTTGCTGTGCCTGGAGGCCATCCGAGGACTGTTGCTACCTACTGCATTCCACTATTATCAGTAAAGCACATCCAAAGCTTGCCAGCAAACTTCTGATTGGTCCCTTACCACATGGAGGGTATCTGGTAGTTTCTTCCCAGTAATTAGGGCAAGGGGGGGAGGTCAGGGTGGGAGCTCAGCACATTCTGGTGAGTCAAGGGGCTACATCTTGCTGAGTCTTTTTTGTAGCCTGACATGGCTGCCAAAGCAGGGAGATGGGTGAGGGTCTGGGCCGTTCAAGGAAGATGAATTGAAAGATGATGTTTGGGCCAGGTGTAGTGGTATATGCCTTTAATCTTAGCATTTGCAGATCTCTGTGAGTTCAAGGCCAGCCTGGTCTACATAGCAAGTTCTAGGCCAGCTGGAATTGCATGGTGAGATTCTGTCTCAAAAAACAAAATTTTGTATTGACATAAATCATATAAAAGCTCACACATCATAAATGTACGGCTCAATGTATGTTCATAAAACAAGTTATCTGTGTAAACAATATCTGAGCAAAAACACCAGGGCAAAACACCGATGGCAACATATGCTGGAGAGGATGTGGACAAAGGGGGATGAACACTCCTCCATTGCTGGTGGGAGTGCAAACTTGTACAGTCACTGTGGAAATCAGTATGGTGATTTCTCAGAAAATTAGAGATCAACCTACCTCAAGACCCTGCAATACCACTGTTGGGCATATACCCAAAGGAGGTACACTCACACCACAAGGACATTTGCCCAGCTATGTTCATAGCAATGTTATTTGTAATATCCAGATCTTGAAAACAACCTAGATGCCTCTCACCTAGAGAATGGATAAAGAAAATGTGGAACATTTACACAATGGAGTACTTCTTAGCAGTAAGAAACAATGGCATCCTAAAATTTGCAGGCAAATGAATAGAACTAGGAAAAAAAAAACAAAAAACAAAAACATCCTGAGTGAGGTAACCCAAAATTAGAAAGACAAATATAGTATGTGCTCACTCATAAGTGAGCTACATAAAGCCTACAATCCACAATTCCGGAGAAGCTAGAACCCTCTTCCAGAAACAGATGGAAGCAGATGCAGAAATCCACAACTAAACATTGGCCCAAGCTCCTGGAGTATGATCAAAGTGAGGGAGGAGTGATAATATGAAAAAGGAGTCAAAACCTGGTGGGAAACCCACAGAATGAACTGACCTGAGCTAGTGAGAGATCACTGACTCAGGTCTGACAAATGGGGAACCTGCATAAGACCAAACTAGACTCCCTTAATACAGGTGACAGTGGTGTGACTGGGACAGTATATGAGGCCACTGGTAGTACATCCAAGATCTAACACTAATGCACAAACTGACTTAGTGGAGCCCATTCTATATGGAGAGATACCTTGTCCAGCTAGATACAGGGGTGGGGGACAGGGTTCTTTTTGGTCCTGCCTCAAAGATGATGGGACAGACTTAGTAGACTTCCTAGGGGAGGCCTTATCCTCTCTGGGGAGCAGATGGGAGGGGGAGGGGTGGCGGAGTGGGAGGAGAAGAGGGAGGGGGAACTGGGATTGGAATGTAAAAAAATAAATTAATAAAAAATGTTTTTAAAAAAACTAAACTAAAAAACAGAAAACAAACAAACAAACAAACAAAAAAAAAAAAACCCCAAAACACCAGGGCGGCCAGGTATGGCAGCACACGCCTTTAATTCCAGCACCCTGTAGGCAGAGGCAGGGCGTCTCTGTGAGTTTGAGGCCAGCCTGGTCTATATAGTGAGTACCAGGACAGCCAGGGCTATACAAAGAGACCATGTCTAAAAAAACGAAAAGAACAAGGACAAAACCAAGAGCGTCAGGAAAGTCTGGGGGAGCCCTGTGTTCTGTACCAGCAGTTACCCCTCCCCACAAACTGTGTAAGTTAGTTCTGCCTGGTTTTTAAGTTGATACAAATGAGACAGACTGAACGACTCCATCCAGCACCCCTCAAACAGCACTAGATCCTTCAACCCCCACTAGTAGTGCTGTCTGAGGCTGCCGTTTTGCATGGTGGGAGCAGGGCCGAGGGTGAGCATGTGGGCATTTTCCCTGGCGCTTCTACTCCATAGACAGGTGCATCTATTTGATCAGGCCTATTAAGGGAGGTTGAGTTTGCATTTTATTTTCCAAACTGTGGGCTACGTAATGATTTCTAGTCATCTGTGACCGTCTCCACCTTCTACCTTCTCCTTCCCTTTCTACCCTTCCACCACCACCTTTCACCGCTACCCCAGTGGGTCCCTTACCAGCCCTAGGCTCACAGACTTAATTCCCCCTCCCTTAGAGGTTGAAAGGGCCAAGGTAGATGGGGAGAGAGTATTTGCATTTAAAGCCCTTGATGCCTAGAGTGCTGGGAGCTATGGAGAGATTGGGAACACTTCTCTGAATACCTGCTAAGGCACAGGAGGTTTGAGGGGGTTTGCAATGTCAGCAGGAGGATGTGGTGGAGGAGATGGTTCTGGGTTTCTGGGCCTCTGGGCCTGCTGCAGGGGGCAGGAAATGAGCCAACTGACTGGCCCAGCTTGCCCTAGAGAGAGGATCAGGCTGCTATCCACTCCCATCTATCCCCACAGGGAGGGTAACAAGTCCCTCTTAACTCTCTCATACTTTCTAAAGCATGGCAGATAAGACTGCCAGCATCCTAGGCTGTGACTGCTACAGGAGGTCTTTCCCCCAGAGGATTTGGGGGTGACTCTGGGAAGATGGACCATTAGAGCTGAGAGAAGGCATGAGATGGATGAGATGTCCTGGGGCTGCACCCAGACCAGAGTGGAATAGGGAACCTGGGGCTGTCAGCATGTGGCCGGTCCTCTGTCATAGCTGGTCAGTCTGTGTTTAGCTGGTTTGCTAATCACTGAGTCAGCAAACCTGGAGGCCACCAGCACCAAAGGAATGGGCACAGCACAGACTGGGCCTCAGGCCACAGGATTGCACATTTGGAATATGGCAGGCCACCTTGGGGATGTGTGGTGTACCGCTTGCATGGCTCCACCTGGTAGCCAAGGTGGGAACAAAGGCTGGGGAGGGGAGTAGGAATCTGGGAGTTAGGGAGTTAAGGGCTTGGAGGGGGTTGGATTATATCTTCCTTTTGGAAGGTTCCTGTGGAGCTGGTACCTGGGAAGGTTGTTCTGCAGGAGAAGGAGTGAAAGGCACCAGAGGTGGAGGGAACAGCAAGGGGAAAGGGCTGAAGGTGGGGGAGAGCCATGCTCTTCCAGGTGGTCTGGGAGGGAACACAGTTGCAGGTGCACCGACCATTGGGAGCAGCAGGAAAGGTGCTGGGCTAGGGACCAAGACAGCCCGGGGAGAGAGGGAGAGTTATTAAGCAGTGACCTGATTTAGGGACTCAGGCACACCTTGATCTTCTACTCCTCTGTTCAACACCCCCTCCCCCACCATCCCTCCAGGTGCTGTCATGTAAGTCACTCACAAATGTTTACTGAGCCCCTTTACACTGTGTGAGGCAGTACTCTAGGCCTTGGGAATTGCGTGATGGACAAAGTAGAAACGACTGTTGGGAAACTCACTTAGTGGAGGAGACAGATGGCTAAGTAGGTAATTAAGGAGGCAAGCTACTCTCTGGTGGTGACAAGTTCTGAGCAGAAAGTCATGAGAAGCAGGGTTGCTAGGGTGTGAGGGGGCTTTAGAGAAAGCAATGAGTGGGTTAAGCAGGGCACAGGGATGGGAACGAACCAGTTTTAGGGAGGGAGAGGCCAGGGTTTCAGGTGGAAACGACAGACAGCCAGAGAACTGGAGGCAAGGAAAGGAACAGAACCCAAAGTTTATTAAAGACTGCATCACACTCCTGCAGATCTTTCTCTGGGGGAGCAGGGTGGGTTGGAGAAGGAGAAATGGGGTCAGATCCTGCCTGGGCTATGGGCTGTACTGAGGGGTTAAAAAAAGAGACAAGGGTCGGGGAGTGGGCCAGGGCTCTTGCCAGGCATGCAAAAGGCTGTGGGTTCCATCTTCAGCACCACCTAAAAGGAAAAAGAAAGATGCCTGGTCCTTATTCTAAGCTGGGTGTGGTAGTCACAGCACTTTAATCCTACTCAGAATGCAGAGGCAAGAGGATCTCTGTGTTTGAGACCAGTCTAGTCTACAGAGCAAGTTTCAAGGCAGCCATAGTTACACAGAGTGGTATGGTTAAGAGCTGAGGAAGTAGAGACAGCACCCCAGTCTGCCCCTCCTCTGCTAACTTGTTCTCCAGCCCGCCACAGCCACATCGTGACCTTTCAAATGCACAGGCAATTATGTGCTTCCGCTTCACAAAGCCCTCTATAGCTTCCTGCCACCACCACGAAGTTCTTGGACTTGGCTCACTGTTACCAAGGCAATCTTCAGACCCCCTTCCACACCACTGTCCTTCCAACCCCAGCTAGAGGTGCTCACTCACCCTCTGTCCCCGACAAGTTAAGCCCTAGGCCCCACCAAGCGATGTGGACACCTCTCCCATCTTCTTGGACTTGGGTTGGGGGACAAGAGTTTTCCAGCTGGATTGACATCTGCTCAGGCTGTTTTCATGAAGTCCCCAAAATGCTAGTTTTTAGTCAGGAAATGCTAAGGCTAGATGGGTCAAATGTTATAGCCAGCTTTGCCCCTCCAGGGAGCAGCAGTCTGACTGGTGACTTCCTGGTTTGCCCATTCCATGCCACAGAACAACAGTCTTTTCTAACCACCAGACAGGCAGGCAGACAGGGGTTCCAGGCAGACAGGAGTTCCAGGCAGACAGGGGTTCCAGGCAGACAGGGGTTCCAGGTAGACAGGGGTTACAGGCAGACAGGTTACAGGGAGATGGATTACAGGCCGTCAGGGTTACATTAACTGTTTTCCTGCCTGGAGCCCTGTAGATGTAGAGGTTGAGTAAGCACCTTCTCAGTAAGGCTGAGTCTAGAGGCCTGGGTTAGAGAGCTGTCTGCCTTTCTCAGGTCTGGGCCTCCTTCTCAGGAATAGAAAGACAGGACCTAGGCAGGCGGGGAGGGGAAAGGAGCCCTCAGCCAGCCTGTCTTTGCTGTCTGCCCTCCCACCCAGCCTCCTGGTCACCAGGCGAAGCACCAAGAGGACTTCGGCACCCCTGTATCGATGTGCCATATCCACCATTTCAGATGAAATTGCTTGCCACCCAGTAGGTAAGCCAACTCCACCTCCTCAGGGTACCTTCCTACGAATCTCATACACCTCAACCCAAACCATTCCAAATTACAGCTCTGCCTGATGTAGCCCTATCACCCCTGCCCTCCAGCCCCACAGTGAGCTTCTCTCCCCAGTGCCCAAGCCCATGCCACCCTCTCACAGCCCACCTGCCTCTCCTGATACAGTGCCAATGACAGATCTGGCACCAACCCTCACTGACTGCTTGCCATGTGCCTCTGTTAAGTGATATATTCACATTTTTATGTGTCTCTGTGTGTGTCCACATGTGGGTGGGCATGCATATGTGCTGAGATTTGAGGCCGACTTTGGGAGTCTTCCTGGTCCCCTCTCCCCATATATGCATTCAGGTCTGGGTCCAGCAGCCAGCCCCAGCCTACCTGCAGCCTACTGCCGCCAAGAGCCCCTTGAGAAGCCCCAGGTGGCAGGCATTTCTGACTCTCCATCCCTGATATCAAGGCTGGGCACCAGGGTCTTTGTTGAGATGGTAGATGAGGCTGGAAAGGGACTGCATCCTGGCATGCCCAAGCTACTCTGGTCTGCGGAGCCCCCAACCCCAGTGTCTAGAGGTTGCCGACAGAAGCAGCCCCGTGCCTGATGCTTGCCTGACCTCCCAGAATCCCTGCATCCATCCTTGCCTTAACTGTTTCAGAGAACATCTATATGCCAAAGGGCAGTTACAAGGGAGTGACAGTGGTCCGGAACCACCATGGTGTTTTGGTGAGTACATAGGCAGGAGGACAAAGGGCCTTGGGGAGGCTGGTGTTGGCCCCTGTAGGTGATGATGGTGTTGCCAGTCCTGTTGTTATGCTGCCATCTGTCTGTGGTCTGACCATCTATCTACACAGATGCCAAGTCTGACGCAGAGGCCACTGACTACATTTTTGACCCTAGCAAGTGACTTCTGACCCTGAGGAGGGAGGCCACTATTCCTCTCTGCCTCTATCTAGTTCAGTCACTGCACTCTGGAATGGGGATGACAGTGGCTGTGACTAGGGAATATGGGGCTGACTCAGCCTGCCTGATTCTTCTTTATGCCTCTCCCCAGGTATGCATTCAGGTTCAGGCCCGGCAGCCCAGCAGCCTTAACTCTGAGCTCACAGGTGCCTGCAGCCTACTGAGCCCCAGCTTGGACTTCCAGGCCCAAGCCTACTTCTCTGACCTTGGTAAGGATTGGAGAGTCTCTGGCCTTGGCAGTCATAAAGAATCCAGGAAGAAACACAGCTCACTAAGGCCCAAAATGGGACAAGCAAGCTCAGGGTCCTTGTCAGGGCAGAGCTAAGGATGCCTGTGTGTGTGTGTGTGTGTGTGTGTGTGTGTGTGTGTGTGTGTGTGGTGCGTGGAGGTTTTATCTGCCTCTGCGTCTTCTCTGTATGTTTCTTAAAGAAAGACTCCTAGATCCAGGCCTCCATGTGGAACTTGGTGGCTACTACAGAGGCAAAGGAGGCAGCCCAGGGGAGGATAAGAAGCCAGCCAGAAGACCCCGGGGGGCTGAGGAGGAAGAAGAGGATGAAGAGGATGAAGAGGAAGCTGGTGAGAAGGGGCAGATCAGGTGCCTCCATAGTGAACCCCCAGGCTAATGGCCTCTGGGATCAAGGTGTGTTTGGATTTAGAAGAAGGGGCAACAGTGGCTAGGTCCTGAAGGTGGGGATGGTGACTGGGTCCTATAGGTACGGCGAATCCTGGCCCTATCTCCTCATTTTTTTTTACATTTATTTTGTTTGCATGTCTGTCCACTGTGCATGGGTATGGGTGTGCTCATGCACCAAACATGCATCTGTATGTATCACAGCACACATATGGGGGTTGGAGGGCAACTTTCAGGAGCCGGTTCTCTCCCTGTACTATGGAAGTTTCAGGGTTTTCATACTCAGGTCATCAGGCTTGGCAGCAAGTTCCTTCACCAGCTAAGCCTTCTCCCTGGCCCTGCTCATCTTAGAAGTGGGGAAACTGAGTACCCCCGCCCTCCAAAATGGGAGTGAGTCCCATAGTAGGCAGAAACAGGGCCTAGATCTCTCTTTGCCCGTAAGGTAAGAGCTCCCATGTTTAGGAGCTTTCCCGGCTTCTTCCCTGACCTGAACCATAGGGACAGAATGTTTTGTGTATTTGTGTGTAGGTGGGTGGTCCCTTACCAGGCAGAACATGCTGCCCTCCCTCCTGCTCCTAACTGCGCCCATTCCCGACCTGCTCCTCTGTCTTTACCAGGCACAGAGATTGCTATTGTTCTGGATGGCTCGGGAAGCATTGAGCCTGAAGACTTCCAGAGGGCCAAAGATTTCATCTCCAACATGATGAGGAACGTCTATGAGAAGAGCTTTGAGGTGGGCTTCCTTGAGGCCTGAGCTCTCATTGCCTGCCACTCATCTATGACTATGTAACAGCCTCAGAACACCCGCCCTTCACGTGCTCATAGCTCTTTGGGTGTCTGAGCTGAACTCAGCTGGGTGACTCTCTGTCAGTTTTGCCTGGAGCTACCATGCTGTCATAGGCATCTGCTTGCTTGACTGGGGAGGAGTGTCTTGAGATGGCCCTACTCCTGAATCTCCAGAAGGCCAGCCCAACCTTTTAATGCACCAATACCCCAGTACATGAATTTGCTAGTTTCCCACTGATCAGAGAAAGCCACATAGCAGATCTTAATAGGCAAAACAGAGAGGGGTCGTCATGGGGATGCGGATCCAGGGAGGAATCACTCTCCTCCACCTGTGCCTGTCTAGAGATTTCCTTTGCATTAGCATCTCCTTCTGTCCAGGGTCAACAGAGTAGATGAGTGGATTCTTCTAGCGTTTCCAAGAGAGGCCCTTTCGGGGGCAGAGGTATCTATAGTATAATCTGATGATCCCCTCTACCTCACTCTGCTCTCCAGTGTACCTTTGCCCTGGTGCAGTATGGGAATGTGATCCAGACTGAGTTTGATCTTCGAGACAGCCGGGATGTTATGGCCTCCCTTGCCAGAGTTCAGAGCATCGTTCAAGTGAAGAATGTCACTAAGACTGCCTCAGCCATGCAGCATGTCCTGTGAGTGGGGCTCTGTGGCATAGTGTCTGGAGGAGTGGCTGGGTGAACTGTGGGGGAGGTAGTTAGGATGCCAGGAAGTGATGTCATAACTCAAATCTTTGCTTCTTAAGACTTTGTGAGGATTAAACAACTAAAATATACAATATGTATGATAATGCCTGGTGCAAAAGTACCATAGGAACCAGGCATTGGAGACACATGTCTATAATGCCAGCTCTCAGGAGGCCGGACAATTGTGCCTCAAAACCCCAAAAGTGAGTTTGAGGCTAGTCTGATCTTCACAGCTAGTTCCAGGATATCCAGGGTTACGTAAAAAAAACCCTGTCTCAAAAAACCACACCAAACCAAAACAAAACAAAAAATAAAATACAAAAGCAAACAAACAAACAAAAAAATGGAAAGCATAAATCTTTACAGAAGTGAAATGATCATAAAGTAAAAAGTAAGTATTGCCTGCTCTTTTAACTTAGAATTCCACACTGTATACACAGAAAAGGGGCAGACACAGTGCTCTTACTGTGGGGAGCAGGTGAGGAGTAAGTGCATCCCTGTGGCTTATGCCTTGCTGAGTGAAGTAAGGTCCAAATCCACCCTTTTCTGTGCCTTTATTCCCCACCTGGAGGGCTCCTTAACTCTCCAATTCAAGCAGGTCAATGAGTAAAAACTTGCCCAGAGTCCAGACACTCCTTTTGAAGATTATTTTCATTCTTTCTCTGTTAAGAGACAACATCTTCACTCCAAGCCGTGGCTCCAGAAAGAAAGCATCGAAGGTCATGGTGGTGCTCACTGACGGTGACATATTTGGGGACCCTCTCAACCTTACAACTGTCATCAACTCCCCAAAGATGCAGGGTGTTGAGCGCTTTGCCATTGGGGTAAGAGCCAAGAGCTGGGAGGTAACCCTGACTCCAGATAGCTCGAGAGGAGCCCAAGAGGAGACTTTTGGAATCTGTATATCCAAACCCTCTCTATTCATAGACACTCCTCTTCTCCTGGCCACTTGGTTCCTCCATGCCCCACTCCTTATTGGGTCCTACAGAAGGCTCAGCCTGAGGTGGGCGTAGCTCACTGGCTGAGCAGGATGGGGAAAGCCTGTACAAAGGTTTCTGGGGAGGCAGTACTGAGCTGAGTCCTGGTAGCTAACATGAACAGCTGGCCTTGTGCACAGGAGGGTCGCCAGGCTCTGTAGGCAGAGGGGTCGGCATGCATGGGGCAGCCAAGGACAGCCAGGTGTGTCAGGAACACACCGACAAAAGTGGAGCTTTGTTGGGGGTGAAGGGACAGTAGTCAGGGAAGGAAGGAAGAAGGAAGGAGATAGTGAGGGATCTCTCACTGACTGAGGCCTTCTTCGTACAGGTGGGCGATGCATTCGAGAAAGCTAAGACTGATAGAGAACTGAAGCTGATTGCATCCGACCCCAAGGAGACCCACACCTTCAAGGTGACCAACTACATGGCTCTGGATGGGCTGCTGAACAAGCTGCCACAAAGCATCATCCACATGGAAGGTGAGGGCTCCCACGGATCTTGTGAGAGCCCCCCTCAGCATTCAGCAGGACACCCCACCCCCGACCAACTCTCCCTGATCCTGAGCACCTCCCTGAGCCACAGCTGTTAATCTCTAAAATGACAGCGGCACCCCGAGTCCTCCTCGCCTCCCTGAATCTATGAAACTCTGCTGAAGTGGTGGTAGAAAGGCAATGAAGACCAGGACATAGTCCCAACAGGAGCTTACAGATGAGGAGACTGAGGTTCAGGAAGAGAATGTAGCCAGCCAGTTCTTGCTTAAGCACAACCCAGATCTCTGCTCTCAGCCCAGTGCACCATTCCACCAGATACTCACCCCTTTGGGTGCCTGGCCTGGCTGGCCCCTTCTAGACATGCCTCACCCTGCCCCTTGGCACAGTGTCTCACCAGATTCCTTGGCTTCCAGGCACAGTTGGAGATGCCCTTCAATACCAGCTCGCACAGACTGGCTTCAGCGCCCAGATCCTGGACAAGGTTTGTGGCTTGCTCAGCACAGCCAGGATCCACCAGGCAATGAGGGGCTCCTGGCTCCTGGTTACCCTGTGGGAGTGTCTCTAGAGGAGCCACTTTAGAAACAGAGAAGCCATCTGCTAGCTTGCCCTATCTGGACCAGCTATTCTAAGAGGTTACCTTGTGTGCTTTAAAGGATTCAGACATTATCTTAGCTCTAAGCACTGAGATTTGGCCTTGGTGGCAAGCCCACTGAGGTGTGTCAGGGAACATGTAGTTTGTGTGGCAGAAGAAGGAAGCTGAGAAGGAAGAAGGGATGGAACCACAGATGGAGTACCCACTAACTGGGACCTCTGTGCAGGCAAGAGCTGAAGCCAAGTCACCTCAATGCCATCGGGACCTCTTCCACCCACAGGCACCTTCACACGACACAGGCGACGAAGTGCGGGCTTATGAGTACTACAGTGCTCAATCATACTTTTAAAAATGCTCACTATCTGGGTCCCACAGTGCCTTCTGGAGCTATGGCTACTAAACGGACTCACATAAACAGAGCAGAAAACCTGTATTTGCCATCTCATCTTCCTTCCTGACCTTTGAATGCCCTCTTTGTCCAGCAAGTCTTGCTTCAGTGGCCCCTGGATCCCACCCGCCTTCCCTGCCGCTCATTTGATGCTCTCTGGTTCCTTTGCAGGGACAGGTGTTGCTTGGCACTGTGGGAGCCTTTAACTGGTCTGGTGGTGCACTGCTCTATGACACACAGAGTGGTCGTGGCCGCTTCCTAAACCAGACAGCTGAGGACTCAGGGGCTTCACAGTACAGCTATCTCGGTAAGGACAGGGTATGGTGGATGCAGATGGGACGGGGTGGGGCCTGGAGGTGGCTAGGAAGAGAGGGCTTTAGAGGATAGATAGCGGGAGGGTGAGGGTGAGGCAGGAGGTGGATTGAGGGCGGGGCCTGAATGGGGAGGGCGGAGCCCCGGAGTGCAGTGAAACCTTGCAATTGGATATAAGGTGAGAGTAGGGTCTGGAGGTTGGGCGAGCAAGGGCCGTATCTGTAGTCTGGGAGAGGGGCTAAAAATTGGACTTGGAAGCTAATCCAGGGACAAGGTAGTCTGGGACACCGAGGTTACCTGCTGGTGTGCACATTAGGATTCCTGGAGGAGACCATGGTTAATCACATGGGTCACATGCAATCAGACCTCAGTTAGGGACTCTGAGATTGAGAAGTAAGAAGGGAGACTGGGTGGCCTTGGGCCTCTGAATAAGAGGGAATTGCGACATCTCTGTTAATAACAGCTATGAGTACTCCTCCCCAAACTTCATCCTGGTTCCCACATACAGTGCTCCTGTGCTGAAGGAGTGCTGCGTACCATACATGTATGGGGGATACACGTGTCACTGTCAGTGCAGAAGTGGGAACACTTGACTCGGAAGATGGAGCTGAAGGGAGAGGCTGGAGGTGGGGAGCAATTGTCTGCAATTACACCACTCTGGCCCCAGGTTATTCAGTGGCAACGCTACACAAGGCCCGTGGCTTCTCCTACATGGCAGGAGCTCCAAGGCACAAGCTGCGTGGGGCTGTATTTGAGCTCCAGAAGGACAGAGAGGCTACCTTTGTGCAACGGATGGAGGGAGAACAGGTACCTCCTGGAGAAGTCACCTTTCTACCAGTAGAGCCCCGAGGTCCTGGGGAGATGGGTGGGTGGGCCCACCCTGGGCGAGGCTCAGGCCTGAGTGCAATTTAGTGGCCCTTAAGTCTAGTCGGTGGTCTCCCTCTTGTTCACTCCTGTGACACCCAAGGTCAGATTGATTTGGAACTCCCCCCCCCACATACTTGGTGACCCAGGAAGAGCATAAGCAGTGAGTCTAGCTGTGGTGAGGGTGGAAAGGGGGTGTCCCTATCCTCAGGAGGGCTGAGTTCTTTCTGGGCTGTAGATGGGATCCTACTTTGGCTCTGAGCTGTGCTCTGTGGATATTGACATGGACGGAACCACGGATTTTTTGCTGGTGGCTGCTCCATTTTACCACGTTCGTGGAGAAGAAGGCAGAGTCTATGTGTACCGTGTGCACGAGCAGGTGAGTGTTCAGTCCCATGAGACTGCCAAGGCTGTGCCTGCTCAGGTAGCAGAGGTTGGATGGGCCCTGGCCTGACATTTGTTTGGCAACAGTGGGCAGCGATGGTGGGTGTTCAGGGAGCATAGATGTCCCCTTCCTCACAGCCAGGGATCATGGCTGTCTCCCTGTTTCTCATCTGGGTGGTTGTGGTGGCATCTGCCATAGTTGCCCAGTAGACAGAACACTTGCCCTGGCCTCCCTTACTACTACGGGAGTGGTTCTCACTTTCACATTACTAGGATGCAGTGAGCTAGCGAGGTTGGGTGTGGGAGAGCTGCACCTGGATGCTAGCTCTCTCTGTTACTAATGTAGCAATGTGTGGGAATAGAGGGGCAGGCTCCAGGTCTTGAACTTCAAGACAGGAAGACCCCAGCTTTACTGCAGGCTTAGATCATTTGTCTTTTCTCAGCCTTAGACTCCTGCTGGAGAGTGGAACCAGTGAGGGAGAATGCCGGTGGTCCTGGGGTGGTTGCCCTGCATACCCTTCTTGGGGACTGAGCTGTTGGTTCACTTTGCAGGATGCTTCCTTCTCCTTGGCACACAGACTGAGTGGGCATCCTGGGCTCACCAACAGTCGCTTCGGCTTTGCCATGGCAGCAGTGGGGGATATCAATCAAGACAAATTCACAGATGTGGCCATTGGGGCCCCTCTGGAGGGCTTTGGGGCAGGTGATGGGACCAGCTATGGCAGCGTGTACATCTACAATGGACACTCAGATGGCCTCCGTGCCAGTCCTTCCCAGGTGACTCTACAGGCTCTTTCCTTCTCCTTCCCTGGAGCCCAAACCTCCCTCCCACAGATAGAGTGAGCAGAGCCCTGAGTCAGGTGGTAGAGAATGTCAGTGAGGGCAGGAAGTCACCAGGGGTAGGGGTGGAGGACCTGAAGTGGGCTGATGAATGGCAGTGGCAAAGGAGGAGGCAGGTCAGGAAAGGAAAGATACCGCTCTCTCAGAGACGGTCATGGCCAGGGTGGGAGGTGGGTCGTGCCGCCGAAGGAAATAAAAGGTGAAGCTACTCTTCCTCCTTCCACAGCGGATCAGAGCCTCCTCGGTGGATTCGGGACTCCGCTACTTCGGCATGTCCGTGGCTGGTGGCTTAGATTTCAATGGTGATGGCCTGGCTGACATCACGGTGGGCTCTCAGGACCGGGCAGCTGTGCTTTGGTAGGTGGGGGGGTCTTCCCTGACTTCTTGTGACTGAAGCCTCAGCCATACTCCTTGTTCTACACTCAGTGGGTCCTGCAGATTCCAAGCACTAAGGGCGGGAGGAAGTATCGGGGAGGGACACAGCTTCTGGGGTCTGCCTGGGTAAGTTTGCTCCTCAGCTCCCAAGAGTGTGACTTTGGGTGGGCTATTGAATTCTAAGTTCCAACTTCTTATCTATAATTGGGAATAATGACGGTACCTGTCTCACAGGGGTGGGAGGAAAATGTGTGAGAAAATATAAAAAGTGGATACACAGTGCTGGGGGGTAGGGAGAAGCGTGCTGTGAATTCCAGCGCCCCTGGGTTCTATCTTCAGGCAATTTTCAGCCCTGTGGCTAGAGCCCCTGTCTTCTAGCCCTCTCCAGAGAGCCCCACGCCTGTTGTGCACTCACCAACATCTCCAGGTGAACAGAGCTCCCAATGGAGCACCTATTCTTTCCACCTTCCATCCCCAGTCTGCCCCTCCTCCAGGCCCCTGTTTCAGCAAATGTCACCCACCTAGAGAGTGAGGATTACATTCCAGAACTGGGCCTGTAATCTCAGCTACTTGGGAGACTGAGGCAGGTAGATTACCAGCTCAAGGCCCTCTGGGATACGGAGGACAAGAGCTCTCTGTAGGTTTCCTCTTCCTCCTTCATCCATCACCCTGTCTATAATGTTTTTATTGGCTTCGGCTCCAAAACACCTGTCATCTCTCTCCAGGTCCACCATGTAGACTTTCCTGTGCTCCTTTGACCTGATCCCTCTATGCTACTACTCAAAACCACTCAGTGACTCCTACCTGAGTAAAAGCCAGTTCCTTGTCACCACCTACAGGGCTGCTGTGATCGGCCCTGCCCATCCTCCTACCTTCAGTTTTCACCATGACACTCTGTTTCACTCACTATGTCCCAGTCTTCCCGTCCTTTGTGTTTTTCAAAACAAACCGACCTCACCCTGGCACAGGGCCTTTGCACCAGCCGTGTTTTCTGCCAGGAATGCTTCCTCGGACTTCCACTTAGCTGGCTTTTTTCTTGTTAATGGCTTTCACTTTCAAGGCCTCCCTCTTATCAGGGGGTGCATTCTGACCACCTGATCTAAGTAGCTCCATGTCTGTCACCTTAGCCTATTACAGCATTGCCCACACCTGTGTGTTTATTGCCCGTTCTCTGCTTCCCCACAAGAGCAAATCTCATCCCTTTCCCTACTGTTAATATATCCTGAGGATTGAGGGTACCCTTGCATTTGGAGATGTTGAACACAGCAAAATCTGTGCTCACTCCTAACGGGCCTCTTTGTTGTCTTTAGCTCACGACCTGTGGTCGACCTGACCGTGTCTGTGACATTTGTCCCCGCTGCACTGCCCATGGTCTTCAGTGACAACGTGGACGTAGAACTGTGTTTTGAAGTTGGCTCTTCAAGTACAGCCTTTAAGCCAGGTAATGTCTGCCTGGTGCGGGGGTGTGGTGGGGAGGGGTGGGGTGGGGGGTGGGGTGCCCTGGTGTAATCATTCCTGATTGGCTTGTAGGGACAGTGCCTGTCCCTCTCCTGGTGCCTGGCTCCTGTGTCTTTAGTTTGGTTAAATGAATATGTCCAGGAAGCAGATAAACTGACATCTTAGCCATGTTGAGAGGAGGGGAGCTTCTGAAAGGAGGTGGCTGTACTATCTTTGCCTGCTGTCCCCCACCTAAGCATTGCAGGGCCCCCAGAGGCACTGACCCTCTTCAGGATTTGCACCTCGGAGAACCTGCTGGAGGCCTGGCTGCTCTTTCACCCCTTATCCGATATTCTGGGGGCATGCTTTCAGGAGGAGGAAAGCCAGAGGGAGGAGGGCATGCATGGCTGGCACAGCCCAAGTGTCCAGAGCCCAGGGCTCCCTTCCAGCAGTCTCCCAGCAAAGCCCCCAAGGTTGAAACCTCGTGAACGATCCTAGCAATGGCTCCCTGCAAATCATGAAGCAGTTTTCTTGGGTGAGGGTCATGACCAACCCCAAGGGTAGAAAACAACAGACCTGGCCTGGTATGGTCGTATGTGCTTGTAATCCCAGCACATGGGAGATGGGCAAGAGTTCAAGGCCATTCTCAGCTACATACTGTGTTCAAGGCCAGCCTGGGATACATGAAAGCCTGTTTCAAAAAGGGAAGAAAAACAGGCAGGCTGCTGAGGGCTCCGTGACACCAGGCAGGTGCCCTTCTCTTGCTAGGCCCTGGTTTCTGTTCTTCACAGTAAGGGGCTTGGCCCAGGCAATCTCTAGGATGTTTGCAGCCCTACTGTGCTTGGATTCATGATTCTACTCTCAGCTTACTGCACTCTGCCTCCTCCTCCCCCTCCTCCTCTCTTTCTTCTCCTTTCCCTGCCTCCTTCTACCCCCCTCTCCTAGTTTCTTAGTTAGGGTTTCTTATTGATGCGATTAAAAAACACCATGACCAAAAGCATCTTGGGGAAGAAGGGTTTCTTTCAGTTTACAATGTTCAGTGCATTGTCCAAGAAATCCAGGGCAGGAAGTTAGGGCAGGAACCTGGAAGCAGAGGCTGTGGAGGGGTGCTGCTTTCTGGCTTGCTTCTTGTGGCTTGCTCAGCCTGCTTTGTTATAGCACCCAGGACCCAGCCTGGGATATCACTGTTCACAGTGAGCTGGACCCTCCCACATTAATCTTCCATCGAGACAAGGCACCACAGTCTTGCTCACAAGCCAGTCTAATGGGGACATTCTCTCAGCTAAGTTCCCTCTTCCAAAGGATTCTAGCTTGTGTCAAGTTGACATGAAACTAGTCAGCACATCGGCCTAAACTCTCCTTCCCTAAGGTTGTACTCAACCTAGGAATGTGCTGGGAATGGGTCCAGAACACTGAGAAACCTTGGCCAGGTCTAATAGAAGCAATAGGGGGTAGAGATCACCTTCAAAATGATGATGAATAGGCAGGCATTAATGCCAGCACTTAGGAGGCAGAGTCAGGTGGATCTACATAGCAAGTTCCAGGTCAGGGGTTTATAGTGACATCTTGCCTAAACTAAACCAAACCAAACCAAACCAAACCAAACCTGGGAGTCTTGCCCCAAGGAGGTGGCCACATACCACATAGGGACACTGTTCAGCAGGGGCTTACAGAGCCTCAGCAGGCTGGGGCTCTTTGCCTGGGCCTCGACCTCTCCAGCCTCATCAGAAGGTCTGGTATTCAACCCCAGGCCTTAAAGAGATGTTACTCAACTTCACTGTGGATGTGGATGTGACCAAGCAGAGGAAGAGGCTGCAGTGTACAAACACGAGCAATTGTCAGAGCTACCTTAGGAAGTGGAACGGGGAGTCCTCTCTGTGTGAGAGCTTCTGCCTTGTCCCCACGGAGGAGAAGGTAAGGAGAGAATTTAGACAGCATCCCAGAGGGGATGTGTTCCATGTGGGACCCTCTCCACACAGACAAAAGAGGTGACCAAAACAATCATAATACATCAAGAACCAAAGTGACACTGGAAATAGGGTCCTACCAGAAGTCCAAACAAAAGCGGCTTGGGCTGTGGGTGTGGCTCAGTGATACAGGACCGCTTTTCATGCTTTGCATGTGTGAGGAGGCCCCATGTTCAGTCCATTGGGAAGGAAAGAGTAAAGGGGGAAGGGAGAAAGAGCAGAAAGAGGGAGGACACTTACCCAAACTCAGATGATGTCACTGAGCTTCTTAGAGGCTGGACAAAGGGGAATGCTCTCATTGTGTTGTTTACTAACCTGATAGGAATAGTAGGCTGAAGGGCCCTGAGTGAATCCACATCAAAAAAACTGAATGATTAAAAGGCAGGTCCAGAGGGCTAGAGAGATGGCTCAATGGTTAAGAGCACTGCCTGTTCTTCCAGAGGATCCAGGTTTGACTCCCAGCACCCACCTAGTAGCTTACAAGCATCTGTAACTCCAGTTCCGGGGGCTCCAATGCCTTCTAGTGACTTCCAAGGGCACTAGGTATTCACATGGTACATAGACATATATGCAGGCAAAACATCCATACACATAAAATGATTACATAGTTTTTTAAAAGGCAGAACTAGGGAAAGGCCAAGTTATCTTAAAATTTTATTTAACTGGGTGGTAGTGGCACATGCCTTTAATCCCAGCACTTGGAAGGCAGAGGCAGGTAGATCTCTGTGAATTGGAGGCCTGCCTGGTCTGCAGAGTGAGTTCCAGGACAGCCAGGGCTAGAAAGAGAAACCCTGTCTCACAAACCCCAAAACAACAACAAAAAGGTTATTTTAAAAAGAGAAATCCTTGCTGGGCATTGGTGGAACACACCTTTCTTTAATCCTAGCACTCAGGAGGCAGAGGCAGGTGGATCTCTGTGAGTTCGAGATCAGCCTGGTCTACAGAGCTAGTTCCAAAGCAATACAGAGAAACCCTGTTTCGAAACCCCCCCCCAAAAAAAGAAAGAGAGAGAGAGAGAAATCTTGGCAAAGATATTGAGAGGTATGTTTTTTTTTTTTTTTTTTTTTTTAAGTGTCCTTGTCAGAACTCAGATTCTAGCAGGTCTTAGAACTTTGAACTATATGGGCCATTTGTTTCAGAAAATGAACTTATGAATTCTGCTTTGGATGCACTTTTAATTGTTACTTGGCTTAGGAAAGTTTCCAGAACACCTATAACCTTCTAAAATTAAGGGCATAGAGCTGGAGAGATGTTCAGTGGTTAGGAGTGTGTATTGCTTTTCTGGAGGGCCTGACATTGGTTCCCAGAACCACACTGGGGGCCTTGTGAGTTCAGCTATAGGAGATCCAATGTCTCTGGCCTCTTTCAGCTCCTGTACTCATGCACACACACCCTGACATGTATACATAATTAAAATAATAAAATAAATCTTAAAAATAAAAGCCTAACTGTTATTTTTACCAGGCAATCAAGTTCATTTGCTCTCACATTCAAAGCTTTTTATTTGTTTATTTATGCATTCCACAATGTACGTATAAAGGTCAGAGGACAACCTGTGGGAGCCAGTTCTCTCCTTCTACCATGTGGGTGCTGGGAATTAATCTCAGGTTGTCAGACTTGGGGGCAATACCTTTCCACGCCAAGCCACCTCACCGACCCTTGATGTTCTTATTCTGACAAGAAAGCTCCTTTTAGCAGAGTGTAGCAATGGCCTCTGCCTGCCTCCTCTTTCTGGATTTTATGTCTCAGTTTCCCTCCATGTTGATTGGAGATCTTTGTTATCTCACATGTGACCATGACTTCTTCCCTCCATGGCTTCCTGTTTATCCTTCACATAAAGTCTGAGCTGATTCCCTCTGTGACTGGGGTGAGAATCATAAAGCCCCCGAGACCCAAGGGTGGGGCAGACTGGGGAAACTTCCCGAGCTCTTGGTGGCTTACTTGGGCCTGGATCCTTTGGAAGACTTCCTGGTCATCAATGTCCTCTTCTTCACATCCTCTGCCACCCACAGCTTTGTGATGGGGACTGCTTTTCCAACATCACCATCAAGGTTAGCTACGAGTTTCAGACACATGGAGGAAAGAAGGACCATCCCAATCCCATCCTGGACCACTACAAGGACCCTTCTGCCATCTTCCAGGTAACTCTTCCCACATAAAGGACCCAACCATCTTGGGGGATATCCCACGTTGAATGCTTGCTTCCCTAACTTCAAAGATGGCTAGAGCTGGGAGGGAAGGTCTTCAGACTGTCAGTCAGGCAATGGAGTCCCTGAGATGGCTGCTGTTCATTGCTCACTGATGGGTAGCAGGTCTCTAGCTGTTGCCCTGGGCTCAGTGACACATGTGGGTCTGCTGTGTACTGGGGCTCTCGCTTTGCATGGTATCTGGGGATGTGGTGAGTCCCTTGTGGGCACTAGACTGGAGCTTTCCTGTCCTGAGATGCAGAGAGGAAGTTCTTGGATACACTTCCTTGCTTGGGTCCTTCTCAGAGCCTTCATGCCAAAATATCTGGTCCACCAAGCCCTCACTTATCTCCCCTCTGGTGCCATGAGTGTGGCTGAGACAGGCAATTAGTGTCACAGAAACTTTTTCATGACCAAGGAAAGATAAAAGAGCACATTTTCCAATCCTATTATATCTACGGTGACTTTGCCCCTTCCCTGGCTATGGCTCCTAGGGGTCCTCTGCCAATCTCCACTTACAGAGTAGAGAAAAATCATCAGGGATAAAGAAGTGGAAGAAAGACGATTAAAAAGTAGTAGCTGAGGAGGCTGGAGAGATGGTTCAGAGGTTAAGAGAACTGACTGCTCTTCCAGAGGTCTTGAGTTCAATTCCTAGCAACCCCATAGTGGCTCACAACCATATGTAATGAGATATGGTGCATGGATACATGTAGGCAGAAAGCCGTATACATAATAAATAAATCTTTAAAAAGTAGTAGTTGGGGTGGGTGTGGTGGCACACTCCTTTAACCCCAGCATTCAGGGAGCACAGACTGAAGGCAGACCTCTGTGAGTTTGAAACTAGTCAAATCTACATAGCAAGTTCCAGGCCACCCAGGGCTACATAGTTGGACCCTGTCTAAAACATATCCAAAGAATTCTCATTTGAGAATAAGTTACAGATCTGATATCTCTTCACTCTCATGCTCAGTATATACTTCCTAAAAACAAGGCCATTCTCCATCACAGCACAATGAATAAATAAGATTAACACTGAGGAATACTGCTATCTACTATACAAGTTTATTCATATTTTGTTTGCTATTCTAGAAACTTGATTTTTAGCAAAAGAAAACAAAGTTTCTGGAGATGTAGCTCAGCTGGTAGAAAGCTTGCCTAGGATACATGGAGTCTTAGGTTCCATTCCTAGCACTCAATAAAGGCAGCCGTCTGTGGCCCATGACTGTAATCCCAGAATTTACAAGCTAGAGGCAGAAAAAACAGAAGTTTAAGGTCCTCCATGGCTAAACAGTGAGACTCTTTATCTATCGACTGATCAATTAGTAATAAATTAAAAGAAATCAATCTAAGATCTTCCATTGTCATTTATCTTAGTCACTTCTAACCTAGAATGATGGACTTATGTCTTTCCATTTATCTATCTATCTATCTATCTATCTATCTATCTATCTATCTATCTATTTATTTATTTTGAGGCAGGGTTTCTCTGTAGCTTTGTAGGCTGTCCTGGAACTAGCTGTTGTAGGCCAGGCTGGTCTCAAACTCACAGAGATCCACCTGCCTCTGCCTCCCGAGTGCTGGGATCAAAGGCGTGCACCGCCACCATCACCTGCTTATTTTGGTTATTCAAGACAGGGTTTCTATTGTGTAGCCCTAGCTGTCCTGGAACTCACTCTGTAGACCAGGCCAGCCTCAAACCATCTACCTGCCTCTGCCTCCCCAAGTGCTAGTATTAAAGGCATGTAACACCATCACCTTGTTAAGATTTATATATTTTATGTATATGAGTGCTCTGTCTCCATGCATGCCAGAGAGGGATTCAGAACCCATTACAGATGGTTGTGAGCCACCATGTGGGTGCTGGGAATTTAACTTAGGACCTCTGGAAGATCAGCTAGTGCTTAACTGCTGAGCCATCTCTTTAGCCATCTTTATTTTTATTTTGTGACTGAGTCTCATATAGTTGAGTCTAGCCTTGAACTCCCTATATAACCAAGGATGACTTTGAACTCCTGATCTTCCTGCTTTCACCTTCCAAGCTAGGACTACAGGCATTCAACACCATACCCAGCTTTGTTTTTTGTCTCTAAGGATCCTCACAATTTGAAGGATGTAGGACAGTCATTTTGTAGCCTTCCCTTAGCTGGGTTATTCTGGTGTTTCCTCATAATTAGATCTGGGCTGTGCATTTTGGCTCCCATTTCCCTTTGTAAATGAGTATTTTAGGAAGAAAATTTGAGATATGCATTTCCTGCTTGACATCTATTTGTAAGTAGTTGTAGATTATTACTGTGATGGTTTGGGAAAGAGATTTTAAAATATTAATCCCATCAGTAAAAGGAACCAGGAGAAAGTAGGCAAGAACCCAGATGTTAGCAAAGAATGTGCTGCAACTGGGAACTAAGATGGCTTAACCCTGCTGTCTTTCATCAGGGTTAGATGGTGAAGGTAGGAGCACTTGCTGTGAAAGCTTCATGATCAGAGCTTCACAGATCCCCAGGTAGAGGGAGACAAATGACTCCTGAAAGCAGTTCTCTGACATCCACAGGGCACTGTGGCATGCATGTGCCCACACTCACATGCATGGACTGTATACAGCATGCAGTAAAGATAAATAAAACGCACATTTAAAAAATAGGACCTGGGGCATACACCCTGGGTTTCAACACAAGCACCAAAATAAATGCAAATAAACTAGCACAAATTTGATGATCAAGTTAGACTTTAAAAGTGAATCTTTTTTTTTTTTTTTTTTTTTTTTTTTTCCCTTGCAAGTGCATGGTCTCCTTTCAAGCTCTGGGCTCCTACTCCAAGCCCAGCCCATGATGCTCTCTCTGCACAAAGCTGCTGCAATCATCTCCAGCTGCTGGGGAACTATAGACAGACTCCTAAACTGGGGAGCTGGCTGTTTCCTAAACAGCAAAAAAAAAAAAAAAAAAAAAAAAAAAACCCCAAAAAACCCGAGACTTGGCTATGTTAGAACACTTGCTTTGTTTCTTTCTGTTTTTGAGACAAGGTCTTGCAATGTAACCTAGGTCTCAAACTCACTGTCGTGTCACAGTACCCCCAGTGCTAGGATTCCAAGCAGATGTGACTCTCTGATTTAGTTGTGACGTGTATGCAGGATCACTGCCACAGTGGGGGAGGGTGCTGGAAAGGGTTCACCTATGGTATTTGTCAGTTCCTGTCCCTGCTCCAGCTGTTTCTGCCTACACTTCAAAGGGCTAAGGATGCTTTCCTTCACAAAGGTTTGTCCTCTCAGATGTTGGAGGCAGAGAGATGCATACAATACAAACATGACAGCATGCCTATCATTCCACAAAGGTCACCCCACATTTGAGCTTGGCTAAATGCCTAGATCACAGTGTGTCCGTATTGTTTAGGAATGTCACACACACAGCTCTCTTGGCCATGCGGGCATAGTCCTTGCTGTCAGCCATTACTCTCTTCGAGCTTTGCTTCTCTCAGCAGGGTACAAGATGGAGAAGGTTGGAGTCAGGGTTGTTGGGATAGGTAGGTCCCAGGGCTGAGTCTGCTCATCTTTGTCTGGTTACAGCTGCCCTATGAGAAGGACTGCAAGAACAAAGTGTTCTGCATTGCTGAGGTCCAGCTGACCACCGCCATCTCTCAGTAAGTTGATTCTTGCTATCATTAGCATCATTTCTGCAGTTGATGTTCTCTTAAGATCCACCTGGACAAGCCTCTTATCCAGATCCGTGCACATTCCTTTTCCCTTCCCCTCCTGGCCCTCAGAGGGATTTTATATTTGTTATTCAGCCACCCTGTGAGGGAGGCAAGATAAATATTTGTCTCCCCATTGTATAGATCAGGAAATTGTTGAAGTTGCTGCACAGACTCTCAGTGGCTACTTGGTCAACCTGAACCCAGGTCTCTTGACCTGGCAATGCTATGATCCTCACTCCTACAACTTCCTCTGGTTCACCTCTTAGGAAAATTCATGAATGAACTCATGAAGTATTCCTGGAGTAGTTTTACTCTGTTCCAAGGGGCTCTAGATGCTGGGAGACATCTCAGTCAACGGTGCAAACAAAAATCCTTCCCCTTTGGTACTTAAAGGGAAAGTGATAGATAAGTAACTCTGGGTAGATGGGTTACAATACAAAGGTAGGGGCAGGGAGGGGGTGAGGTTTTAAACAGGGTGGTCAGGGAGGGTGACAGAAGGGGGTGGGTACCGTCCATGTGGTATTTGAGAGTAGAGCGAATACCCTGATGGAAGCAGCCCTGGTAGGTGGAAGGTAGAGCATGGACTCCGTGTGAATGCGGGAGGGAGAGGGGAGTAACATGGGAGAGGTGGAGGGAAGTCTAAGGGCGTTCCATGGGACCTTAAAAGGGCCTTGAATGTGAGCTAGGAGGCCAGAGGAGCAAGATGGGCTCACATTTTAAGTCTAGCTTAGCTTGTTAGAGCAGTGGTTCTCAACGTTGCTAATGCTGCAACCCTTTAATACAGTTCCTCATGTTATGGTGACCCCCAACCATAAAATTATTTTCATTGCTACTTCATAACTGCAATTTTGCTACTGTTATGAATAGTAATGTAAATATCTTCTTTTTTCTGATGGTTTTAGGTGACTCCTGTGAAAGGGTCAAAGGCGTCACAGGGGTTAAAGGGGATGCATCCCACAGATTGAGAACCACTGGGCTGGATGATAATGATGGCTTATAGGAAGCAGGGAGATAATAATTACTATTTTGACAATGAAGGTACAGGTAAGAAGGTGGTGGCTTAGACCAGCTGGAGGCAAGGACAGTGGTTATCTTTTGAAGCTAGTCTTTGGATTTGCTGACAGTGGAGGTATCGAGCAAGGAGAGGGCCCAGCCCAGGCATCTACAATCGCATAATCCAATACACTCACCATCAATCCCTGTTGAATATTTAATTCCAAGGACATTGTATTTAAATGCAATTTTTAAAAGTTGTAATTCTAGGGATAGAGAGATGGCCCAGTGGTTAAGAACCTTGACTGTTCTTTCCAGGACGTAGATTCAATTCCCAGCAACTACATGGTGGCTCACAACTGTCTGTAACTCCAGTGCCAGGGGCCCTCTTCTGGCCTCCCACGGCACTGCATGCATGTGGTACACAGACTACACTCAGGCAAACCACCCATATTCATAAAATAAAATGTAAAACAAAGCATATGCCTTAGTGGCATCATACTGAATATCCACATATGGCTAATGACATCAATAAGACAGTAGGATGTGGACTTTTTCCATCATTGCAGATGTTTTATTGCACCACTCTGAATCCACTAAAAGTTCAGCTCCATAATGACGTTGCAGGAGCTAAGCTGAGTTTGGTTTGGGACATGTGGCAGTCTTAAATATACCCTCAGTGGCTACCGCGTGTGTGCCATGTTGCTGGTGGCCAGTTGTCTGGAGTTGGCTTCTCCGGGCCAGAGTCGTGCCCTTGAGTGGATGTTTGCAAGACTTCCATTTCAGATGTGCATGGTTATGTGGGGCCAGCACTAAGGAACTCATTCAAGACACAGCTGCTCTCAAAAGGGACTGAAATACAGCCAAGATCCTCCTCCCAGTCAGTTCTTGGCGAGGTAATGCAGTGTGCTCAGTTTGCCTTGTATCACCCCCTAGTGTCTTAGCCAGCAAGCTGCTACTGAGAGACTCCACTGTTGCAGGGGGATTTGACTTCTCTGAAGATGTGGATTCCCTCCCTACCTCAAATGAGAACTAGACTCCACTGCCCTGGCTAAAAAGTGAGACTCTGTCTCAAAACAAACAAACAAACAAACGAACATAGGCACTATGGCTCACATGTGTAATCCCAGCACTGGGAAGCTGGGAGGCAGGAGGATTGCAAGGCCAGCAGGATACATAGTGACAGACCAACCAGCCTGAGCAACAGAGTGAAACTCTGTTTTTAAAACTAGCCAAATGACTAAAATGAACTAGGGGTAGGGCCCAGTGGTAAAGGCTTCTAGTCTTTAGGCTTTGGTTTCTTTTTCTGTAAGATACAAACTAACTATACTACTTTCTAGGGTATTTCTGAGGATGCAGTGAGCTCATGGGGCATGGCATTTAATTAGAACATGGTAACCACTAAGTAACTGGTTATAATCAGACTGCTTAATGATTAGGCTGTGAAGGTGGACATACAGCCAGGGATTCAGCTCTGTTAAAATAAAGAAAATCTGGGTCTTTTTGTTGTTTATTTTAGGGAATAGTTAAGAATATGCTTTTCTGTAGTGCAGAAAGTTTTACAGATTAAACGCACTGCCAAAGCTCCATCTCTCTCTCCACACCCCCCCTCCACCCTTTGCAGGCAGGAACTGGTGGTGGGTATCACAAAGGAACTGACCATGAACATCAGCCTGACTAACTCCGGGGAAGATTCCTACATGACAAACATGGCTCTGAATTATCCTAGAAACTTACAGTTTAAGAGGATACAAAAGGTACCTGTGATAGGGTCTTGGGAAACATGCTGCCATGCCTTTCCCTTGTTGCCCACCTGCTTCTCTGCCATTGCCACCAGCCTCCTTCTGCTACATCCAGTACAGGAATCACAATTAGATGAATCCTCTACAATTCTAGGCCCTGAAAAACCTTCAGTGGTACCACATAATCAGCCCTCTTTGTGTACAGGCTTGTGAGAGATAAATTCTTTGCTGGTTTTTTTTTTGTTGTTGTTGTTTTTTTTTTTTTTTTTTTTTTTTTTGTTTTTTTTTTTTGTTTGTTTGTTTTTTTGAGACAGGGTTTCTCTGTGTAGCCTTGGATGTCCTAGAACTCACTCTGTAGCCCAGGCTGGCCCTCAAACTCACAAAGATCCTCCTGCCTCTGCCTCCCGAGTCCTAGGACTAAAGGCATGTGTCACCACTGCCCAACTGAGAGATAAATTTAATGCCTAAGGAATTGAATCTACCCAACTGTTCACCAGACACAAGGCAGCTGCAGAGATGGGCTTGCAAGCATGTGGCTGCCAACAAAACACTGAAATGTTCTGTTCTCTTAATTCAAAAATGGTTACTCTGCTGTTTCAAGTTCTTTGGGAACTAGGAACTGCCTTTGGGAACTAACCCTGCCTTTGTCTGGAGAATCTAAGTTGCTCTGACAGAGGAAAGTAAATTCAGTGTCCAGTGTTTCTGGACACAGCTTTCCTCATGTAGTGGATGTTAACCTAACTAGGATTGTGCTGCCCCTGGTATCACTTGACCCTTTACTCTGCCCTGCTGTGTGGCTCTCTGAACTGCTTCATTGACCTTTTTCCTTAACTCCGCCCACCCCAACCCTGTGACAACTCTGCATTTTCCTTTGTTGAGTGAAGACACTCCACAAGACAGCCCTCACTGTAGTGAGTCAGTAGAACTTGACTCTGTTGGGACTATAGGTTTGCCGCCCCCCCCCCCCCCCGGGGGGGTGTTTCTCAATTTGCTTGGGCTAAGTTACTGTGAAAAATTGAAATTATCATCTAGTGAAGAGTAGCTCTCTGTGTTTGATCCAGATGGGGAGCCTGGTCAGAAGGCCACATAGCAGTGCTTGAGCACACGCAAGCTTTCCCTCCATCTCAGTGTGACACTTGGCACTGGTTCACAGCCCAGTTCCCATGTCTTCCTCTCCATGAAGACTTTATGTCGTCCCGTCAGCTGAAGTCAGTCTCCACTGCTACAGAGCCTCACTCACAGAACACTACCCTCAGGCTTTAGGTTTAAACTCGCCCCTCAGTTGTGAGTAGACCAGGGACCAAGCCTGACATGTAAACAAATCAGCCAATGGTTGTTGAGTTGGTGTGAGGAAACTGTTTCTTTTCCTACTTGAGCATCTTTTGGGGCTGGATTGATGGTTCAGTTAGGAGCACCAGTTGCTCTTTCAGAGGACCTGGGTTTGAGTCCCAGCAGCTACCTGTTAACTCCATATTCTAGGGGAATCTGATGCCCTCTTCTGACCTCGGAGGGTACCAGGCATGCACTTGCATGCAAAACATTCCTACCCATAAAATAAATAAAAATGAAAAACAAGCAAAAAACATCCTCTGTTTTAACAGCCACTCTCTCCAGACATTCAGTGTGATGACCCCAAGCCAGCTGCTTCTGTCCTGATCGTGAACTGCAAGATTGGTCACCCCATACTCAAGAGATCATCTGTGAGTCTGTTGTGATTAGGTGACTCTTCACACTACCCTTGAGCTCCCAGCCTCATCAGCATCTTTCAGTTGTGGTCACCATACGGCAGTGCTTAGGACTGCTAAGCCTGCCCTGAAATGGAGAATGGTAGAGGTGTGGGGAATAGTTTTCTGATGTAAAGCATGGCCAGTGTTGGCTTCCTCGAGGAAAGCAGAGAAAGTCGGGGGCAGTATGGAATGAATAGCAGACCAACTTATTCTTGTGTTGTGCAGAAACTCTGCTGTAGTTTTCCTTACCTGTGGAAGGAGAATGATGACATGTCTTTGGCTCACTCGGTATTTGCATAGTGAGGTTTAAATGAAATAATGGCTGTGCCACAAAGACAACAGCAAAACCCATGAGGAATGTAAACTGTGTTCCTGGTGCTGCTTAGCCAGTGTCTCAGTCACTGTGCTATTGCTGTGAAGAGACCAGATGACCAAGGCAACTTTTTAGAGAAGAAAGCCTTTAGTTGGGAGCTTGCTTACAGTTTCAGAGGCTTAGTCCATTTTCACCATGGCAGGGAGCATGGTGGCAGGCAGGCATGGTGCTGGAGAAGTAGCCAAGAGCTGTATTCTGATCCACAAACAGACTGGGCTGGTGTGGGCTTTTGAAAACTCAAAGTCCCCACCCTCACCCCCTCCAGCTCAGTGACATACTTCCTCCAGTAAAGACACACTGTCTACTCCTTCCTATCCTGTCAGAGTTCCACCCCCTGGCTTTAAGTATTTGAGCACATGGGGGCCATTCTTATACAACCCATCACAGCCAGTTTGAATCAGTGTGATTAGCAAGCAGGTGTCAAGTGACTCGTTCCCCCATTTACTTATTTATCTCCTCCTTTAAATTAGGCAAACGTCTCAGTAGTTTGGCAGCTAGAGGAAAGCATCTTTCCAAATAGGACAGCAGACATCACTGTGACCATCTCTAAGTAAGTAGTGACTGTTAGCAGACTTAGGACCTGGCCGTGGCTGGGAAAATCTTGTCATGTTCAGGCTGAGTGTTCTGGCTCTCTCACTATTCTGGGAGAAAGGGGTTACCTCACTGATCCCACCGAACTTCCCTTTCACCAAAGATCCTTTAGATGTTTTAATTCACACAAAGGAATGAGCTGGTGGAATGAGCTTTGGACTGACTTTCTCTACTCTGATATAACTCTGTAGGCCTTCATAACAGAGCATGGTGCTGGGGAGGGGTCAAACAAGGGCGATTCTACTCCTCAGGCAATGGCTGAAGGGTTTTTTGTTTTTGTTTTTCCCCAGAGACAGGATTTCTTTGTGCAGTCCTGGCTGTCCTGGTATTTTCTCTGCAGACCAGGCTGTCCTAGAACTCAGAGATCTGCCCGCCTCTACCTCCTGAGTGCCGGGCTTAAGAGTGTGCTCCACCATGGTCAGCATTCTAGAACTAATTTTGATTGCAGTGAGTTAGGAGATTATACTGGCTTCTGTTGACAGATGCTAATAACTATTATTCAGTATGTAGGACAAATCCATAACAGGGAATTCTTTGGCCCAAAATGTCAAGTATGGAAGCTGAGAAATCCTTCTGAAATCAACATTTCTCTAAACGTGGCCTTCTAAGAAATTCATCTTTGAGATGTTTCTTAGGAAGTTAGGGTAACAAAGCAGTTGTGTAGTCAACTAATATTTTTATTCCCAGTTCCAATGAGAAGTCTCTGGCCAGAAAGACCCACAGCCTTCAATTCAGGCATGCCTTCTTTGCAGTTCTTTCTAGGTAAGTACTCCCAAAGGGGTTTGTGTGCTGCTCATGCAATCAGGACATCTTTGGGGATACTCTTGTGGACAGAAGTGCCCAACAGGGTAGATGTGGGCATTGCCCTTCTCTAAGAGGAGGCTGCTTAGTGCCCAGCCTTCTAGGATACTGTCAGGTCCAAAGGGTAGTGCTCCCCAACCCCCTAAAATGGCAGACTCACTGATTTATCTGGCTCTCCAATTAATAACACCTGTGGTGTCTGCCTGTCAGGGTCCATGCTAGAGACAGCCTTGGCAGTTTGTAATAAACTTTTACTTTTCTACCCATGGAGTGGCAGTTTGAGTTTCTTTACTGCACTACTCACATACATCATGTTGGGTTTTTGAAACACCACAGTGGTCATTGAAAGCATGGTGCCAACTGGTCCTGCTACCAAGGGAAACTGATGTAATGCAATGGAAAGGGAGTGAGTGGCTGGGGGGTTGGAGAAGGGCTGGGGAGATGGTTCAGTGAGTACTGTTCTCGATGTGCAAACATCAGGACTTGAGGTTAGCACCCATGTAAGTCAGGTGGTGTCTTAGGTGGTGTGATAGGCTGGGGTGGTGGTGGTGGTGGTGGTGGTGGTGGTGGTGGTGGTGGTGGTGGTGGTGGTGGTGGTGGTGGTGGTGCACGCCTTTAATCCCAGTACTTGGGAGGCAGAGGCAGGCCGGTCTCTGTGAGTTCGAGACCAGACTGGTACACAAGAGCTAGTTCCAGGACAGCCTTCAAAACCACCCTGTCTCGATAAACAACAACAAACAAACAAACAAAACAAAACAAAAAGTCAAGTGGTGTGATGCCCATCTGTAATGTCAGTGCTGGAGTGAGTGGGTGGGGTGAGAGAGGCAGATCCTTCCAGCTTGCCAGCTAGCCAGTCTAGCTAAAACAGCAAACTCCCAGGCTCAGTGACATACTGTCCAAAACTAAAGTGGAGAGTATAGGAGACTTGATGTTGACCTCTGGCCTGCACATGTGCACCCACAGGCAAGTGCACTGCCACACATGTGTGCACACACATACAAATTAGAGAAAAGAAGGGAGGCCCCTCAGAGCAGAGTCCAACTGTATTCTTTTGTCCCAAGCACCTTACAAGTACTTAACATTTTGACTTTCACTTTTAAGTCCTTTTAAAGACCTAGTGCCGTCTGCCCTAGTGTACACTCAGCTTCATTCAGAACCAGGAAGGAACCTTGAGTCCTCACACAGGCCCTCTCATTGCAGACCATCAGTGATGTACATGAACACAAGCCAGAGCCCTTCTGACCACAAGGAATTCCTCTTCAACGTAAGTACACAGTGCTCATTGTCCATCTAAAGCTGGTAAAGCCACCAAGCTTTAACTTGCTCATCTTATTTGGCAGGTACATGGGGAAAATCTCTTTGGAGCTGTATTCCAGTTGCAAATTTGCATCCCAATCAAATTACAAACTTTCCAGATTATAAGAGTGAAGAATTTGACAAAGACTCAGGTATTTAAATAAGATTCTTTTGTTTTTCTCTGAGACAGGGATTCTCTTTGTAACCTTATCTGTCTTGGAACTTACTCTATAGACCAAGCTGGCCTCAAGACTACAGAAAGATATAAAAACTAGAGCCCAGGCCTGGTAGCACAGGCTTGCAATTGCAGCTCTCTGTGAGGATAAGGCAAGGATTTTGTAAGTTTAAGCCAGCTTGGCTATGGAATAAGGCCAAGACAAGCCTGAGCAACTTGGTGAGATCCTCTCATAAACTAAGGTGGGCTGGAAACACAGCTCAGTGCAATGCTGCTTGCTATCCCCGCACAAGGCCCTAGCTCAAACCTTAGAACTACAAAAGCAAAACAAGGACTAAAGTCTGATACCTAGAATCCATGTAAAAATGCTGGGTGGTATTAGTAATCTCACTGCCAGGAAAGTGAAGGATCGCTGAGGCTCACTAGCCTAAAAACCTAGCTTAATTGGTGAACTCCAGGCCCATGGATGACTGTCACAAACGTGGATGGCATTCCTGAGGTTGACACCTGAAGCTGTCCTGATTTCTACTTGTCCCTCTGCCTCTCAGCCTGTACCTGCACATAAAGCAATGTGCACTTAAAAATTTAAAAACAAAACCAAACCCAAACAAACCAACATGAGCTTTAGGAGTAAAAAACAAGACTACTTAATTATGGAGAAATATTAGGAGTAAGTCAGAAAGAAAATCATTATTTTGTTTCCCTTTCTTTGATGAAAATAAGCAAAAATTCAAACATCAGCACCATAGACATTTACCTTTTGAAATCCGTAAATTCTGCTTGTTTCTGTGTTTTTGGTGAATGAATGAATTTGATAAACATTTCCCACACTTCCTCTATGCTGGTGTACACCCCTCCATCTCAGCTTTGACCCTCTAGTCTCTCTCTCTCTCTTTTTGCTGTTATTTTGCATTCAGTAAAAAAAGCATCTGAGGTTTGGTTCCTGCACCAGCCTTGACAGCAGCAGCATCAGGAGCAGGAAGGACCACAGCTGAGGGCTGAGCTTCAGTAACTTGTTTTTGATCACCCTACATAGGGTATCAAGGCTCAAAAAACGGCAATGTCAGATTTGTAGACTCTGCTGACAGAAAGAGGACTTATAAGATGTATACACCTGTCCTCTGTGTAGTTTATTTTTAATAACACTTGTTAAAAACAAGCTTAATTATGTGGACAAACATTTTGGTTACCTTTTAAAAACAAAAGTCTCTTTTTAAAAGCTGACAGAGAACTCTTAAGGATGGGCATTACCTCCATCCTGTTCTAGTGGCAGAGACTAAAAACAGTACCAGAGGCATTGAAGGTGTATAGGCGTGGAAATCATGATGCTTGACCAGTAAGATGACATGGAGTTTATTAGGAGAAAATAACTTACACAGGAAACAAGTGACTGTCGCGTCGCTCCAGACCCAAGGATGCAGATCCCACCACCCTGATGCTCTCCACGACCTGAAGGGGCTTCTGAGCCCCAAATCAATTCTTTTCAGGTCTTGTTCGAACCTGTGACCACACTCAGAAGGGTGTGGTCAGTGCTACAAGTGTAGGTGGGGTGGGGTGGGGTGGATATATCACTACAAAGGTGTACTCAGTGAGGCTTCAGTAGTGCTCTCAAAGCCACTCTGTACCTGGCTTACTTAAACAGACTGTGTCGGCAGAGCAGATCGGTGGCAGAGCTGAAGGTCAGTACAGTTCTGTGGAAATGCTCCAGTCTCTCCTTTACCTGCTTCATGGCTGTGGTGTGACACTTAGTCTTAAAGCTCATGTGATTCAGAATCTTGTCTGTGAGGTAATGTAGCCACAGTACATTATTGTACGGGTGATATTCCCCCCAGCAGTTTTTGTTCTCCTTTCTCATGAGCCTGTAGATCTCAAACTGGTAGTCACCTTCACCTGTAAAGAGGTCCTCTTCGTTGGAGATATCACAGAAAACCACAATCCCGTCCCGCTCCAAGCGGGACAGGGTGTAGTCGATGATGTTGACTTGTAGCCCACGGGTGGGAATGGTGCTTGTCTTCCCATTGAGGGTGTAGTGGATCTCTTTGAGGTTGGTTTTCTTTAAGAGCACATTCCCCCAGTGTAAGTCACGGTGCTCAAAGTGCAGCGACGCTTCTGCCACGGCAAGGGATGCAGTGATCTGGTGTAGAATGCTCTTTGCAGTAGCCACAGAGGATAGCTTTCCTCTCATTTGCTCTAAGTCAACTCCACCAAACTCAAATTCCAGGATAATAAAGAGTTGGTCTTCCTGGAAAAAGTCAGGCCGGTCATTTGCAGACTTTTTGGTGGCATTATAGCGATCCCAGGCTTTGAGCAGCAAGGGAGGGTAAGGCCCTTGCACACAATGTACTGAGTTCAGCCCAATAAAGCCTTCTGTGCGGTTGTACACCTCATCTGACAAAAGGCTCAGTTCTTTGGAGATGATGATCTCTGGTAGGATCTCCTCAAAGGTTTTTTGATGGGACCCATTGACTAAATCTGGTCCTTCAATAGCAATGATTTTTAGGGCTACAGGTGTTTGATCAGTAATTGTTTCGAACACTTCCCCAAACACTCCTTCCCCAATCTTCTTACAGTGTTCCAATTTTTCCTTGGAAAGACAATCATGAAAGGGGATAGGCCCTTCCTGATTACACTCCCCATAAACCTTTTCAGCATAAGATGGCTTTTTGTCCGTGACCTGGAGGGTCTTTAAGGGGCTTAGCAAATACATAGAAGAGGAGTGACAAGAAGAAACAGTACTGTTTGCTCTGTTCCTGATGCATGGAGTTGAGTATTCAGACAGGAGGGACCTAGAGGGAGAACCGGCAGCCTGGCTGCTGCATTCCTCTGACAAATTAGTTATAACTTTCTTCTTGTGGAAACTGAAGGAGGCTCTGGTTTTGGCCCAAGAAGAGGTCTCATGGATATGCCTCAAGTCCGGGGAAGGGACTGAAGCTCTCTTTTTCTTCTTAGATTGCTGATAGCGGCGGGCAGAGGCTCCCATTGCTTTTTGCCGTTTCCTCCTCTGCAGTGGCTCAGTTCTCTTAGGCCTGCTGATTTGCCCTGGTACACAACGGTCTTTGCAAACACCGGCCCTCCCATAGTCCGTCTGGTCGGCTCCTTGAGGCGCAACCGTTTGATCTGTGGCCCTTCTCTTTCTCATGCTTGTCAGACCTGGGCCCTTTAGTCTGTTTCCCACCTGCTGTCTTTCACGACACGATTCCTTCACATTCTTCCCATCTGTCCCAAACTCGTTATCTTTTGTGGTCCCTGAGTCCACCGGGCTAACGAATGCTGCTGACCTGATGTCGGCTCCGGATTGGCCGGCCAAACTGGTGAACCTGCCTTCGTCTGTTGCCGCTTCCCTGGGGCAGGGCAAAGATGCTTCTAAGTCCAGGGAGGCTGCCGGCAAGTGGGAGCCCCTGGGGACTGCAGGGGCTCCATCCGGAGAGTCGGGGGCTCCGGGGGAGGCCGGAGAGCTAAACAGGGAAGCACTGGTGCCCAGCTCGTTGCTGCCCCTGGACTGGCCGCACACGCTGAGGTCCGGGCTGAAGCGGCCCGGGTTGCAGCTGAAGGGTGGCGGTCGCAGCCGGCCACACGGGGTGCTGCACTTCTGCGGGGGCCGAGGACGCAGCCTCTGGGTGGCTGTCAGAGTCCGCTGTTGGCGGGAGGCGCGGTCCGGGGAACGCTTGCGCCGCTTGCCCGAGGGGCTGCCAGGGAAGTCCGGGTCGTCGGGGTCGTCAGGGTCGTCAGAGTCATCGGAAGAGACAGACGGCGACTGGTCATTGCCGCTGAAGCTGCTGCTGAAGGCGCGCTTCGGATCCGGCGGCTGGAACCATTGCACGGCCCCTCGGTTAGGCTGCGACCTCTGAACGCCCCTCGCCGCGTACGTTCGAAAGAGCCGGGTCCCGGGCCGCGGAAGGGACGCTGCCATGGCGGGTGCCCGCCCGTCAGTTCAAACGGAAACGCCGCGAGACTTCCGCGAGCGCGCCCGCCGGCCCGCTGGGTCCTAGCGCCGGCTCTTGGCGGCAACATCGCGCCCGACCTCCCAGAGGCCGCCAGGGGGCAGATGCCTAGCGCGACTTAGAGCGCTCCGGGCGGCTCAGGAAGGGATCTCGTTTCAGGTCCACACTGAGTGCACGCAGAGTCAAGAGCGCGCGTGTGGAAGCGATCCTGTTCAGGTGAGTGAGGTCGTCTCAAGAGCCCGAGAGAGGGATGTGGAGAGCCTCTTAACAAGGTGACCGCAGAGGTCAGGTCGCAAATTCTGCAAAGTTCTTTTCTGAGTGAGACTCTCCAGCTTCACTGATCCTGTTTGCCAGGGTGACTGACACTTTGCTTTGCTCAAAGGCGCTTGCTCAAACTGCTCACTCTAGGGCCTTAGATGCTCTGTCCTAGATATTCAGCTTTTCAGCCTGATGCGTTAGAAGGGAGTAAGCAAATCCACTTTTTACTTTTGCAGCATGTAGAAGAGTGGCATTCAGTGATCTGTGATATCACATCTGATAAAGAAAATGTAACTGTGGCTGCGGAGATCTCCCTGGGCCACACTAAGCAGGTACTTGAGACTGAAAATTTGCAAGTTTTGTCATCCAGCTCTGGAGCCTGTCCTCTAGAAACAACAATAATAACATCTGGAATGTGCCTTCCGGAATAGATATCTTGATTGGCCGTCTGTCCTAACCAGCTCTTAGCAAGTACATAGTAGGTTCCACACTGACATGTAGGAATTCCCCGTGCCTCCCCTTTGCTACTTCCCTATGTGTGTCCTGCCATCCCACTTCAGAATATATATTAAATCAGGTCTCTGCTCTACTGATTTGTTTAATAATTCAGGTCACCCTCTCTGTTGGGCCTGTTGCATTACATTAGGCACACTGTCTTTGTCTTGGCATTTCCCCTAACCTGTCTAAATAATTCTTCAAGATGGATCAGCAGTTCAGAGTATGTGCTCTTCTTGCAGAAGATGAGGTTCAGTTCCTAGCAGCTCACAACCACCTATGACTCCAGCTGTTGGGGTATCTGATACCTTCTCCTAGTCCCCATGGACACCTGCACTCACATACATACATGCACATATATGCACATGATTTTTAAAAACAAAATAATTCTTCAATTACCACTGGACTTCTTTTAAAGACAAAAATCAGAAACTCCAAACAGATACAGTCAACTTTAGAGTTGGATACACTTAGGTTAAAATCCACACTGCTTTCATGGCAAGCAAAGAATGACATGATCTGGTCTCTACTTAATTTATCACCCCATGCTGTCTGTCCTTTCTCATCTGTCTCTCCCTTACACAGAATATTTTGCCATTTCTGCTTTTTAGCTTAATATCATTATGGCCACTGGAACTTTGCACTTATAGTTAATTTGCATAGTATTGCTCAAATTTTATTTTCCTGAAAGGCCTTGTTGCAAAGTGGGAACAAATGACCAAGTTTAACTGCACAGTGAGCCAGATGAGAGCAAAGCGGTCTCAACTGTGACACAGTGGCAGTGGAGGAAAAGGGCGGCAGAAGAACTGTCCAGAGCTGGCTTTGCAGAGGAGGGGTATGGCACAACGTCAAGCATAGCGGGAAAGAAGTTGGGGAATGACTACAGGTCTGTGGCTTGCCTAGCTGTGTGGCTGCTGGGACCATTTACAGAGGCTAAAGGAATGTATTTGAAAGGAAAGATGGTTGGAACACTCCAGAAACAATGAATCCATGTCTACACTGTGTTTCGTGTTCCCCCACCCCACCTTTCTCCATCTTATAGCTACTAAGAGATGTTACTGAGCTGCAGATCCTCGGTGAAATATCTTTCAACAAATCCCTGTATGAGGGGCTGAGTGCAGAGAACCACCGAACACAGGTAATCCTGGGCTGTTTTCTCATGAGTGTTCTGGGAAAACTGCTGTCACTGCTGACCTTGGCTATGCTACCACCTGCCCTTGTGACCTTGAGCTTCATGAGAAGTTATTTTTGTGTCCATGTAATGTCCTCCTAGTATGCAACATTAGTGCCTGTTACAATGTTGAACAGGAGCGTGCTCACAGTGCCCAATCATTGAATCATTTTATAGGCATTAGACAGACTACTAGAAGTGTTGGAGTTCCTTTTTCAAACATGTGAACAAAGCCAAACTGATGTTTGAGCTAAATGTTCTTGTGCATGTTTCCCTGTATCTTCATTTTTTTCCTTTTAAATTTTATTTTTGTGATTGTTTTGCCTGCCTGTATGTCTGTTCACCACATGTGTGCCTGATGCCAAGGAAGACAGAGTGGGTGTTGGAGGATAGGGAATGGCTCATTGGTTAAGAGTGTAGGTTGCTCTTGCTAAAGACCCAGGTTCAGCAAGGAGTAGCTCATGGACCCCCAGACTGATAGCTGGGAAATCAGCATTGTACTGACGCAGAACCTCTGAATATGGTTCAGTTAGAAGGCCTGGGCAGTCTAAGGGACTTCTGACAGTGGAACCAGGGTGTATCCCTGGTGCACTAAAAGGACTTTGGGAGCACATTCCCCATGGAGGGATGCTCCCTTAGCCTAGAGACAGGAGGGAGGGCCTAGACCCTATTCCAAATGATTTGATAGATTTTGATGATCCCTCTGGAAGGCATCACCCAGGAGTGTGGGGGTGGGAGGGGATGGCAGGGGGTTGGGGGCATGAGAGGGAGGGAGAGGGAACTGGGATTGATATGTAAAATAAGAAAAAATTGTGTGTGTGTGTGTGTGTGTGTGTGTATATATATATATACACATACACATCCAGGTTCAGTTCCCAGCACCTACATGGTGGCTCATATCCTTCTATGATTCTAGTTCTAAGGGATCTAGTGTGTCTGATAAGCTCCTGGACCTGGTTTCCCTCATATCATTTTAATATGTTCATGTGCCCTTACAGTCTCAAGTCACCCTAATAAATTTATGCTGTCCTTTCTACCTCTAGGAATAAATGAGTCATTTATCAGTCTGTGTTGCATGCATGATGTCATATGGATAGCACTGTTTACATGTCCACCCATGTGTACAGTCGTCTTCCATCTTCAAAATAGAGTCAAATACTGCTCATAAAATGGGGTCTCTCTTGGGGCAAGGCATAGCCTGGAAAATTGTTGTATACATACAGTATACAGTAACTGAAAGCAGGGTGTAGCCTGATCTTACACACCCAGCTTATTATACTTATTTTGTGTGTATAGGTATGTGTGTGTGTTATACAGACAGTGTAGAGTAACTTGGAACAGGGCACAGCCTGATCTTACACACCTAACTTATCACACCTGCCTATTTTTTGTTTATAGATATGTGTGTGAGCATGTGCATGGCAAGGTGTACATGTGACAATTTGCAGGAGTTGTCAGCCCCGGAGGCAGACAGCATCATCTGCTAAGCCATCTTGCTACCTTCTGAAGTATTGCTTTTACAGGAAATGATACTGAAGAAACATAAGCACCTTATTATTAGTCACACCGCCTAGATTCTAAAAAGAAATAGAAGTCTGTTTTTGTAAAGTAGTATCATTAAGTCAGGTGGTGGTGGTGCACACCTTTAATCCCTGCACTTGGGAGGCAGAGTCGAGCAGATTGAGTTCAAGACAGAGTGAGTTTTGGGACAGCCAGGGATATGCAGAGAACCCCTGTCTTGAAAACTGAAAAGTAAATAAAGTAATATAATTGAAATCCAATCCTAACTGAAAGGTAGATACCAGCTGAAAATAATAGTTCCTTCAGCTGTCAGTGCAGGAGCAAGCTCCTCCCGGTCACCACCAGCAAAGGAGACAATCTGTCCTGACTGGCTTTGACCACCATGACTCCAGAACAGCAGCTGACTGGATGGCCCACTGTCCATGTTTGCCACAAGCAGGGGGGCATTCTATGTCCTACTTCTCCCCCTGCTGGGTTAGCTTTGGGTCATTTTGGAGAGAAGCTGTGCATTTCAAAGAGGGCAGAGGAAGAAGGCTTTGAGAAACAGGGATGCTGTTTCCAGTCTGGCCTGTTGTGCCCCTGGGGCCTCCTTCATTGCTCAGCCCAGGTTCCAGAGTCCTGTCTTCCCTCCCCTTACCTTCCACTCTTGTGTTGAGGTCACAGTTCTTTTCCAGTCCTCACTCCAGCTCTGTTGCTGTTCCCTTCCTACTTTCAAGGTCAGAATTTAACTCCAGTGAAGTTTGGTTTACCTGTAGCTAAGTGTAGTCCAGAGGGCCAGTCCTGAGTCAGTCACATTTATAACTTAGCTGAGAGAGGCCTCAAGGATGAGTTGGCTAACTCCCTACCCTGTACGGAAATCTCTCCAAAGAGTGCCTGACCTTGATGTCTATGCACTGGCCTGAAGGGAACTCAGTGTCTTGCAGTGGGGAGTCATGATGACCCTCTGGCTCTGTGTCCTGGCAGCATGCTTTGGCCACTACCCAGGAGGGCCAGGCCCGTCAGGAAGTATATCCGTAGAGCTTTTCAGTGTGTCAGTGTGAGAGAAGACTCCTGAGCTGATGAGATCCTTAGGAAAACACCCCGTGGGAATGATTTCTAACAGAAGTGTCGTGGGTGGACCCACTTCTGTACTCAAGGTATCCCAGCCTGCTGAAGGACAGGGCAACCCCCGTCAGCCATTTCTAGTAGGAAAATGTATACCATGTTCTGCCTGCTTGTATGCCAGAATAGGAACCAGATCTCATTATAGATGGTTGTGACACACCCTGTAGGTGCTGGGAATTGAACTCAGGGCCTCTGGAAGGGCAGCCAAGGCTCTTAAACCTCTGAGCCATCTCTCCAGCCTCTTGTAGGAAAATGTATTGCCAAAGACTTTAGGCATTTGTGCAAGATTTAAAAATATCTGTCAGTCTCGAGTTGAAAAAGACTTGTAGATCTTTGAACAAGTCATCGCTTTGGAGACAGTGACCCTAGGGATCAAGGACACAGAGGGGCACAGCTGCTATAGAATCTTGATGATCTGGGAGTGTTCTCAGACTGGCAGACCACCTTTAGGACAAGGTCACATACCCCGATGACCCAGCTCGTTCAGATCAGAGACCAGGATAGTTTTTTTGTGGAGTATTGTGATCATAAGATGCTTTTAGGGGATGGAAAATGCTGTGTCAGGGGATGGTCAGCTTTTTGCAGTTCTGTCATCAATCAGTCTTGATCAATATGCAGGTTGTTACCAAGTCCTCATCTTTTGTTCCTGAAAATAACATGGACCATCTTCCTTGTCACTTATTGACTTATGACTAATCTTTATCCAGATCACCGTCATCCTCCTGAGAGATGAGGGGTCCCACTCTTTGCCTCTCATCATTGGCAGCAGTATTGGAGGCCTCCTGCTCTTGGTTGTGATTATAGGCATTCTATTCAAGGTCAGTTCCACTCATCATATTTTCAAGGAGAAGCCACTGGGCTCTGATATTGCTACAGTACCTTTGAGGACAGCTAACCTCAGACCTACAGCACCTACTGTGTGGTCTCTTTTCTTTGTTGTTAAAGCTCTATGTCCTGTTTAGACAAATGAACCTGACAGCTTATCTCTGAAAAAAAAAAATAAAATAAAAGCCTAATTGAAGTATTTGGGCCAGAGAGATGTTCTCAAAACAGATTTGATTGTCGCCCCTTGTAAAGTCCTTTATTTTTCCCTACCCCACAGTCCAGACTTCCTTAGTGTTATTTGAGGCCTCTACATCCTGGCCTCTGTCTCTCACACCCCTAAGTCTTGCTTTGTTTTCTCCAGGCCATTCCCTGAACAGGTTCCCAACTCTCTGTTGGGGAGTGCGGGACTGCTCTTGCTAGGAGTGCTAGCTCCCACCCTCTCACCCTTCACACAGCTCCCCAGAAAGCTTAGCCAGGCTCCTGTACCAGGCCTGAGAGCTCCCTTCTGAAAGCCTTATAGGTGGTAGTCATCACACCTCAGTGTCGTTTGAGCCTCTTCCTAGATTCTGAGCTTCTGTAGGAGATGGTGTGCAATCTTTAGCATGGCGGCCTGTTCCGGCATTCTTCCTGAGAAAGGATTAGATCCACCTATAGGACTGACACCTTAGCACTCAATTAAAGGACGGTGGGGGGATGAACGCCAGGAAGGCAGCCCTGAAGAAGGGACTGGGAGGATCAAAAAAGGTCAGAGGAAGGAGAGCCAGGAAAGAGAAGCCCAAGAAGCAGGGGTGTGGACATGTTTAGCGACTTTAGAAGACTGTTTCTAAAGCAGGAGGCTACTCCGAGTCCCTCATGAGGCTGCCCTCCTGTGTTTCAGTGTGGCTTTTTCAAAAGAAAATATCAACAGCTGAACTTGGAGAGTATAAGGAGGACCCAGCTGAAGGCTGACAGTCTGCTGGTGGCAGATTAGAGCCTGCTTCAGTCCCAGAGCCTAGACACTTGGTGTCTGCCTCAGGATGACCTGGGAACATGGAACAGAGTGTTGTTCACAGCCACACATTGTCCCCATATTTGTGTTTGTGTGCTGTGCAAAAGGGAAAATTGGATACATTTACTCTTAAATAAACTTACCTTTACAGCAATGCCTCTAGCGTGTATGTATTTTCCATAATCTGTCGCGTGTTTTGATGACTGACAGGTCAAATTTTTATTCCTATTTAAAAATATTAAAAAAGTCTTTTTTGTTTGTTTGTTTTATTTTGTTTGAGGCAGGGTCTTTCTCCATTGCCCTGGCTGTCCTGGAACTCACTACATAGACCAGACTGGCCTAGATAGAACTCACAGAGATCCACCTGCCTCCTGCAACTGCTGAAATTAAAGGGGAGTGCCACTCCACCCAGCTTGACTTTTATGTCAAGCTTTTATGTTAAACAAAATTTATTTTATTTCTATGTAAGTATATATGTGTATGCATCTATATGTATGTGTGCGTGTATGTATATGTAGACTGGTCTTGAACTCATAGACTCCCCTGCCTCTGCTACTTGAACGCTGGGATTAAAGGCGTGCATCACCAAGCTGAACCCTTATCTGTCCAACTTACTGTACTCTTTAAATTGCTACTACCACCACCACTACTACTACTACTACTATTTTTAGTTTATTGAGTATACTGCCCGTGAGTGGTGGCTTGTAAATACACTATTTCAAGGCAGGTTTTTCAGTTGGTTTCTCAGTTTCCAGGGTCTGGAAGCACAACACAGACTGAGGGCAGAATGGTCTAGGGTGAGGCTGGCCTAGCTTTGCCCGGCTAGAGCCCTGGCAGATCCTGGCCTCTTGGAGCCTCTCTCCTGTCTTTCCGTTGTGAAGTCTGAGATTAAGGCTTCAGTTCCAGCAGGAAGAGAATGCGCCGGCCCACTGTGGTGGGCCAGACTACTCACCTGTTCCTTGTTTCCCAATGACTGCCAGCAAGAACTGGGGCTTGGGGCTTGGAGAAGTTTTCCCCTTAGACAAAGACATACATAGCTGGGGATTGGTAGAGTGCCTCAGTTGTAAACAGGATTCCTAGAGGCTGCAGACGACCTTGTGCAGCCTTATGGGTCTGTACAGGAAGGAATGTCTCGAGAGACAGGCTGTTTCTCATGATAGTTTGTCTGTCCTGGGTAAGCAATTTCAGGAAGGGAGAGACCACAGGACAGACCGGTGGGCTATGGCTACAACACTCTCCTCATCCCATATAAAGAGTAGCAGCCAGCTTCTACCCTGGAAGACAGAGCCCTCAGTTACACTCAGGAGAGAGACTTCCCCTTGTGCTTGCTAATAAACACAGTTCCGTCATGAAGGTCAGACTCTGGTCTCTTTCTGTCTTTTATTGTTGCCTCAGAAACCCAACAAGGATGACTTTGAACTCACGGTCTTCTTGCCTCTGTCTCCTGGCTGCTATACCACCGTGTTCTATTGTGTCATCTTTCTTTGTATATTTTTATCTTTCAAAAAAAGATTTATTTTTATTTTATGTATAAGGCTTTTGCTTGTATGTATGTATTATACCACATGATGCCTTGTCCCCACATGGGTCAGAAGAGGACATAAGATCCCCTAGAACTGGAGTTACAGCCAATTGTGAGCCATCATGTGTGGGTGCCAGGAATTGAACCTGGGTTCTCTGAAAGAGCAGCTAGGACTCTTGGCTGCTGAGCCATCTCTCCAGTCTGCTTTATGTATTTGAAATATACAGACAATTATGAAGAGAAAGATATATTAATATATAATAATCAAAATACTTCTTAAATTGTACCCATAAACAGTTATTATTGCGTTAAAACAGCAGATCTCATCCAGGTGGTGGTGGCACATGCCTTTAATCGAGCATTAGGGAGGCAAAGGCAGACAGATCTCTGTGAGTTCCAGGCCAGACTGGTCTACAGAGGTAGTTCCAGGACAGCTAGGGCTGTTACACAGAGAAATCCTGTCTTGAAAAATCAAAAAAAAAAAAAAAATCGAAAACAAACAGCCCCCACCCCCCAAAAAAACACCCCAGCACTTCTGGTGACCATTTTATTCTCAAAATAGTGATGTGCTTCAAATGTACTTAGACATATCTGAATGAAAAAAAGGAATAAAAAGGAAAGGGCATGACTATTCCTAGGTATGGTAGAGGAGAAACTTGATTGTAGATAAAAGGAAGAGTATAGCCAGAGTCCACATCTGGAGATTCCAGAGTGGTCACAACCCTAAGCCGTGTGGGGAGTGGCGAGGGGAAGGGAGAGGGAGAGAGAGGACCAGGTGCAGCAGTCAGGAGGCCAAAGGTACAGAAAGGGCCCAGTGAGCAAAATGGCTGGACTATATAGAGAAGAGCTGCTGGGGGAAGGGCAGCCCAGCCCCTAGACTGAAGAGTTCAGGGGAGGGGGCCGGGTATGCCAGCCACACTCTGTAACAGGTAGAGACTGAAGGATCTGGGAGAACTTGGCAGCCAGGTCTGCTTGATATGTTAAATGGGAGCCTCAGCCATTTGTCCCAGGTTTGAAACCTAACAATGTCTGCAATGGGTAGAATGTGAAGGGAAAATGTATTGGTAACTGGGTTACTGGGATCACTGCCTACATCCATGTTTGAAGTGTTAAATTTCAGTCAAGCCACAGTAGAAAGAGATGTCTCATTGATCTCCCACTCTGGACGCTATAGTCCCATTTAAGGAAGTAAGTTTTGTGTATCTTTTATTTGTTTGCTTTTCTGAGATGGATAGCTCAACCTGGCTTGGGAGGAGGATCTCGAGTTCTGACTTAAAACTTAGACTGTCCTGCCTCAGATTCCTCAGTGCTAGGCTTACAGCACTGTGGCACCACACCTGGCCTGAGGTTTGAACCTCACGTGGTCTTATTTTTGTTTTAAGGAGAAGAAAACTTGTCCTAGGTCCCGAGTCTAGTAAATGGCAGAGCCATTGTTTAAAAAAACGGTATCTGAGCTGCATGTGATGCTACACACCCAGCACTAGGGGGCAGAATCGGGCAGAGCTCTGTGACCTCAACACCAGTCTGTTCTACGTGGTGAGACCCTGACTCAAAACAAAACAAGGTGAAAAGTATTTGGACCCACAATCTAATGTCTTTTCCGTAAAAGCCTCACTGTGGACTGGGCAGCCCAAAGTGGAGTGGCGTTTTTTCAGTCCTGGATGTAGAAGCAGAGTGCAACTGTGGGGGTCCCTTGGCTTCACTCCTGAAGGCAGATGCTACAGCGCAGCCTGGGGCATCTGTGGTTTTGGCACACACTCCAGGCGACCAGAATGTAGATATATTTTGTGGAGATGCTAGTTATGATACCAGAGTTTATGCATCTCACTGCATGGAGTCTGAGGGTTATCGCGGCTTAATAAGGATCAGGATAAACAAATAGGCCGAATAGGTGTTTATTTAGGAAGAAATAACTTACAACTTAGACAGATGAACACCAGCAAGTTCTACCGGATGTTCTCCTCTCTGAGTCCTTCCAGAAAGAGAGCATTATCTGGCTCCTTCTCAGACCTAGTTCCACAGGTCGCTTCCGCCCCTGGCTCCACCCGCAATGGGCGTGGTCAGTGGCACAGAAGCAGACAGTGAGTATCTCACTACAGAGGGTAGCTATGCACATTGAAGTTTTGATTAACTTTGTGCTTCGGTAGAATCTCTGTTGAAAGCCTCCATGAGAAGCACTTGGAAATGAAGCCTGGTCATTTTATACCATACATCTCAGAATGCGGGCTAAAGGAAGTTCGTTTGTCCGTCCATCCATCCATCCATCCATCCTAGTTTTATAAGTCTTAGAACTACTTATTTCATGGAGGTTGACTGGTAAAGTCTTCCCTGCCCTCATAGTCCTATTCAGAGGATCAGGGTCCAACTAATGACAACAAGCAAGAGATGTGTGAATCCTAAATGGCACAGATCCTGGCAAGGGGTTTAGAGGAGGAGACATTGGCCTCGCAGCTGTGCGGCTGTGAAGGACTGAGGTGGGATCTGTCTGGGCAGGTGCCCAGATGGTGGGGCATGAAGAATGTGAGAGGGCACACGTGGACTGACTGGGCTGTAGTGGGATTTTTGGGGAGCATGAAGCTGAACAGGGGGGTGGGGACACATGCCATGTGGAACAGTATGGGAAGGCACAGGCACCTGGATATTAATTAATTAGTCCTTTTTTTCCCAGCCCGATCAGTTTCCCCTCCCTCTTCTCCTCCCAACCACTGCTTCTCCTTTCTCTTCAGAAAAGTGTGGGCTTCTCAGCTATGGTGCATCAAGTTGCAGTGAGATCCGGCACCTCCTTTCCTGTTAAGGCTGGGTGAGACAACCCAGTGGGAGGAAAGGGTTCCAAACGCAGGCAATAGAGTCACAGACAGCTGCTGCTCCCTCTGTTAGGAGGCCCACAAGAAGCCCAAGCTACAGAACTGTAACATATGAGCAGAGGGCCTAGGTCAGTCTCTGGGAGCCCCTGGGAGCCCTGGTTAGTTGTCGATTCTGTGGGTTTTCTTGTGAGGATGAGAATTTCACACTCATTATGATTTTATTACCACTCTAGACCCATGGACTAGGCGCAGGGATAGATGGGAGAAACTTCACACGGAGAAATCACTGCAAGAAGAAAGCCAATTTCCCTTTAAAGTATGGCCTGTTAGAGTTGTCAGTGCCTTATGACTTTGGTTGACTCAAGTTTAAATCTCTGTGCTTTTTAGTACTCCACTCGGAGTCATATTTTGTTTGTTTGTTGGAGACAGGGTTTTACTTTGTAGCCTCTAGCTGTCATGGAACTCATTATGTAGGCAGGCTGGTCTTGAACTCTCAAAGATCCTCCTGCCTTTACCTCCCAAGTATTGGGATTTAATGCACCCCCCCACACACACTGAGCCAGTCATATATGTTTTTAAGTGTCTGGTATCTTTGCTTAGTTTCTCCTCAGATCAACTACTGGAGCTAAGTAATAAATGCCAACCTGTCAATTAGGAAGGCTTGTGGTCACAAGCATGCTTCCCACAGCAAAGAACTTCCTTTTCCTTCTTGACTGCAATTAAGGAACATTAACAACAAATTTATGAGGGCCTGGTGAGATGCTCAGCAGGTAGGGGTGGGTGGTGGGTGGG